ATGAAATTTTATGTGTATGTTTTACTGGATTCTTGGATATTTGAAAACTCAATTCGGTCTAGTAGGTGGCACTGCTTTAATAAATAAGTATTCAGAGCAAACTTATTATATTCAAAGTTATTTATTAAGGTATAAGACATAGGCACATACATTTTTGTTACAATTTTGTTTCACCTACAATCCAGTTCAATTAGCATATTCGGTTTAAAAGAATTGTTAAAAACCATTACGATATTAAGGCTATTCATTCAAAATAATAACGAATGATACAATTTTACTCAATTCAAAACCAGTATTTATTCTATGACTAAAGAGTAAAAGTAACAACAAAAGTAGAATAAAATACGATTTTATAAAGTGTAGACAAAAAAGTATAATACAGTAAACGCTGTCTACGAACTACACATTAGCTACGAGGTCTACGAATCGTAGACACCTCGTAGAGTAGAGAGCTCTTAGCGTAGACTATGTAATAACTTGAACGCGGTCGTTCTTTTTATGTATTTTTCTCTATTAATTTTATTATTCTTTATTCATTTATCATTATTCATTTATCATTATTAGCTTATGTACTATGACATAAAACTTTCCAATTTTTCTTTATTCATAACTTGTGCATCCTATAACGATTTTACAGTTTTATTATCATAGTCATAGTGGTAGGTATCACATAAAACTGTCAAATTTTTCTTTCGTGATATTAATATTAATAATTTATTACTATTTTCATAGTTGCCACGTACGAAATTAAACTGTCTGTAACTACTAAACCCTTTTTTAAAATGTTCTTTACTAATTGAATCGTATGCTATCTCCGAGTACCACTACTCGGTACAGTTTATTTTTACAGCTAAAAATTCCCACATGAATACAAACAGTATAAATTCGAAACTCTCAAATAAAATACCAGTTACTATAACTGTACAAGTATTTATTAACATTACCGATCATAAAAATAATACATTTTTCATATTATTAATTTCTATGTTCTTAAATACATATGTTTTATAAGAACTTATTTTCTATTGGGATTTTATTTATGCAGAGGGCAAATAAGGAAGCACCATTATATTAGCAGTCGTCTTTTAATTAATATGTTTTCTCTTTTTTTATATACAATAATATATGTCAATAATACAAAAGAGTTTTATATCCAACATTTTCATCTCATAAAATAGAAGAGATTGTGGAATGTAATCTGGCCATTGCAGAATTTAGCCAATTTACTGGCATATGAATAGTAGTACTTACCTACGACGACCTGAACCTAGCAGTAAGACTTAGTTGCATTTGATGGTACAAAATAAATCACAGTTACGTACTATAAATCTACCTATTAACTAGTATTTCAAAGGAATACTTCGGCACAAGAAAAACATGAACCTACAAAAGTATTTTCCCCTACATTAATTCCCATAATAGCTTTATCAGACAGGTAACTTTAAGCGGATAACTAAAGTGCACCTTGTCAAAATGGCACTCCATTATTGGGCACACATTTTTAGGCAATATCGCTATCTGAGTCCGTAACGTGCAGGGTTACGTGTTAGGCCGTGCCGTTATCGTCAGTTTCTGCATGAACGCCCACGTTACGGTAACCCCCTCACCCCCCCCGGCGCCCCCTGGGCACCACCAGCACACCCCAGCCCCCAGACCTCACGTCCCGCCTGGAGACAGCGACTGTGAGATCTTGACACTTGAGTTTAATTTATTCGCAGAGTTTAGGTTTCCTGCGCAACTAGATTTGTTGATGTAATAAGCAATCGCTAGTGAATGCGGTGGGTCGTTTTAGTAATAATATTAGCTGGTTATGATAAATTAGTATTGTATTACAATATTCAATGTTATATTACAACTATTGTTTGTAAGTAAAGTAAACAGACTTAATATATTTTATGATCGCAAATTAAATCGCATAAACGTACAGACAAATATGAAGTTCCTTCCAACCAAATACGTGAAAGATACATATATAAGAAAAACGTTACTATGGGACTTTATAAATGTATACACAGCTTATTAGTTACAGTTTTGTGTGTATGGATATTTATGTAAAAGGTAGAGCGCGCTGAAAGACATATGATTTTAATTTAAATTATATAAAACTTACCCGTTACGTTTTCGGTTTGACCATGATTAGCCAAATAAAAAGTAACTTACTAGTAAACCTGTAGTAATTTAAACATGATGATAACTTAAGCTATTAAGATTGAAAGTGTAATTATTAACCACGCTAAGTGCGTCTTTACAGTTTTTTCTTTAATAGATATGTACTTGGTATTTTTGACATTATTCATAATTAATATTGAGAACTTCAGGATTAACAATATTAATGTAGAAATACATATTATCAAGCGCGTTTAAAGAATATATCAGTTAACTTTCTAATTTGCAAAAAAATGCCATTTATCAGCCAAGCTCAATATTTGCTTGAATACCTAGCAACTACATAATAGGTACCTATTGATTTTCCAAGTGTCTCATAAATATCACTCATGTATAGAACTGGTGTATTTACGAATCCAAGTTACGACTACACTTAAAATTGTAGTTTTGAATACAGTAACTGAACTTGCAGCACTTTTGTGTAGTAAGTATATATATACATTATATTAAAGAGTAAAAACTTATTTTACTTTATATTTTGACGAAAGTTATATATAAGTAGTTTCATCACTCGTTATAAGAAGATAAGTGTATTGAATAATAATAAAAATATATATAAGGCTTGATTCACTGACTCATAAAAGCCCAGGCTAAACTCTTGAACCTAGAAAGCTGATATTTTTCACACGTGCCGTTTTCAAGACAGACGAGGATGAGAAAGGATTTTTCGTAATCAATTCCTCAAAGGACTATTAACGGGAGAACAAGTTTCTTTTAACCCTGGACAATCCACACGGAGCCATCTAGTCCCAAACCAGATTGTATAAACTGATATAAATACTTTTTTTTTGTATATACATAATATACATAGAAATCACCCAGACCAATACAATAATCATGATCATGAATACAAAAGCGTGAGGAATCGAACCCATAAGCCATAAGAAGTAAACGGTGTGTTAAACCGATATACTACCGAGATCATTAAACATTCGTCTTAAAACTCCTAAAAACAAATAAGTAATACGTATTTCATGATTTTTCGTAAATCTGCCCTTAGCGAAGAAAGGGCATAGCTTAACGCGAGCGACTTTGCGGGCAAAACTAGTTTATAATAATCGCCTAGTTTGATTAGTAACAATTGTAAAGTTCAAACACTAAATATTATTAAAAAATAAGTTTTGGGTCTTTTCGTAAAATCACGATATTTAAAATCAGCAAAATCATATTCAAGCATAGCGTATAAATGCAAATACACAAATTAACGTATTCAAAAAGATGATTTTTATTATAGGTTAATTTTATGTTCAGTTCAAATCAAAGTCAGGATAGATATAAGAATAGATTTGGGAGCCATGGATACGCTATGTACGATAGCAGTTGAGGCGTATAAGAAGTTTCTCGTAGAATTTCTGTCTATGATGGATTTCATATCTACCGTCAAAGTGTATAGAGTTAAGAGTTGTTTGAAAGCATAGGTGTGTTTGGTACCTACTTGGGAGGTGTGCTTACTAACTTATAAGGCTTACCGGAATTGACGTAAAGCCCTGCCGTAAAATAATGCTGCTTCAATTCCCATATTAAGATGAAGGAAAGATTCTTAATGACCTAATTTGCTCATTTGGCACTATACTAATTTTCAATATGTTTTAATAACTGAAATATTTAAATTTCTACTATACTTACGCATTTAGTAAAAAATAGCATATAAGTAAATGTTTATGAAAAAATCCTAGAAAGTTTTGGTTTTGTTGTCTTCATCATAGAATTTATAATATTAGGTAACAAAATTAGTAGATATTGGATCAATATGATCGACGTAATTGTAAGTTTTTTCAATACATATGGAAAAAGTATCAAATTTACGGTTTTATAAATAATAACGTAGGTAACGTAGTAAAAATAATATTCTATTATTGTCATAATTGAGAATCTACTTTAAACAGTCCGTTAAAAAATGTTATTCGAACTGTTTAATAATATTAAAAAACCCATAGAGTTCTCCGATAGGTAACTTCACCACTATTGTAACACCGCGAATATAATTGTCTAATAACTTACTTTTGCCTAATCAGAGCTTCACAATTGAATACTCCCCAACTGGTAACGAATGGCGTCACAACGTAACAAACGGCCACCTTCCACAGATTAAAATCGGCTAACTCGAATAAATTCAACTGTTATCGGCTCTTGTTTGGGGAATTAATTATTACTTGAGCTCACTTGGCGGTCGCAACTTTGCTTAACTGAGTAACGGAATCACTTTGATTAAGTAGCTATTTGTTGTCTTACTTAGAACTGAACCAAACATTTCTGTACCCAATGTATAGAATAGAATAATTGAAGATTTTGTTCCACAAAATACGATTTACAAAATATAACCAACTCAGATATCTAGCGGTATAGCGTAACTTCATCTTTTGATTGTCGCGGGTTCGATCCGCGTAAATAGAAACATTACATTTACGAGATTTTCTATACTAAAATTATAAGAGGAATTATATATATTTATGAATACTCAAATTTAAAAAGTTTGAAATGATGACTAACAAGCGTTTGTAATAAACACTAAAAATATCATGTCTAGAGTAATTGAATTAATTTAATTGATCATTTATAGTCTAGGGGCTGGATGTATTTACAGTCTAGGGGCTAAATAGCGCTTTTTTTAAAATGAACAAATACAGAATAGTGTACCCATATGCGCTAATGGTATAATTATGATCTGACGGGGCACCATTGGAGGAAGATAAGATGTGTCTAAAGTCTGTTCAGTTAGCCCATAGTAGCAAATTTACCAGACCAGAAATTACTACGACACTAATCACTAACAACAGACAGCTCGATGTCGCTTTGAGACACCTCCAGGATTATTTATTTGCATTTGTTTACAGGTGACGAACCTCTAGAGGGACTGGAAGGTTTACATTCGGACGAGACTGGTTCCGGCGACAATTCTAACGCGGGCTCTAGTGGCGCTGACGACGACGCCGCAAGGCTGAGGCTCAAACGGAAACTGCAGCGCAACCGGACCAGCTTCACCAACGAACAGATCGACAGTTTGGAACGAGGTTAATAATAATTATATAACATATCTTCATGACTATAATTTCTTATAGGATGGTCAGAAGCATCGTCTCGTGGTGAATTCTTGATATGCACGCGTTTTGTTGAGTTATTTCATTTGAAAACAAAGTAACTGCCTAGGGAACCTACCACTGTCACTCCGATTAATTTTAGTTTATTATTGCTGTTATGTTTCATCACAAATGTCGGTTTATTTTTTGATGTCGGCCAGATTCAAACTCACGACATTTTGGGTAGATAATAAACCACTAGACTATTAAAAAACTATTTATTAATGTAGATAACATGCAAATCTGAACTTTAATATATTATAAAATCTTCATAAATCTATTTGCAATTCATAATTAGGTATAATCATCTAGAAATCATATTTTCAGAATTTGAAAGAACTCACTACCCTGACGTGTTCGCTCGAGAGAGGCTTGCAGCGAAAATTGGACTACCAGAAGCTAGAATACAGGTGAGCTTACTAACTATTATTATTATCTAATAATTATACAATACATACTAGACAACTAACAAATATATTTATTAAATTTGAACATTTCTTCCAAATATATTTCGCCTAACTAGGTACTTGTACCTATACTAAGTAGGTACATATAAATGAACAATTTCAATAGAACTGACAATAAATACAGATTAATGAATATACCTAACTGTTTATATTACACGGAGATTGATCGACAAACATTAAAAAATCTGACAGTGTACTCAACCGCAAAAACAATAATTGGAATGGTAAAAAGTTTACGGCCATTTTACTACAGTGCGGATAAACGTGACGACCTCGGTACCTCAGTATCTCGTGGCCATTCCAAAGGACTGCAATGTCATGGCTCCGTACCCTGTAATGTCACTCTCTAATATTGTGTATCATATTTTTGATCAGCTATGAGCCTAGATATATGTAAATGTAGATGTGTAGCGTGTAGTGGCCGCCTCATGCGTTGCCATTCCAAAGGATTGGTAGATACGCAATGCCGGAGTATGGGTACACTAGCTCATTTACCCCCAAATTAATATAAAATAAATCATCCAAATACCAAAAAAACAGTAGATTTTTTTTAAATATAATTGGATGACGACGATGACGATAAAAAGATAACGGTTATTCTAATAATATGTCGTATCTCTCATCCGTTGCCATTCTAAAGGTCTGAAATGTCATGTCGAATTACGCGGTAATTCACTACCTACATTGTAAATCACCTTTTTGAAGAGCTAAGAGCGTAGATGTTTAGCGCGTAGTGGCCGCGCGTCGTGTTAACCTAATCCGACGTTAAGGTGTGGTTCTCGAATCGGCGCGCGAAGTGGCGGCGCGAGGAGAAGATCCGGTCGCAGCGGCGCAGCCCGGAGTGTGCGTACGCGCCGCCCGCGCCTCCCCACCCGCCGCCGCCCGCACACCCGCCTCACAACCCCCATCAGCCCTACCAGCCGCCGCTTAACGTCGACGCATACAGGTATCTTTTTTTTTTTATTTTTTTTATGGATTATAATGGAATGGTGCACCCGCCTGCGCTAACGGTTTACGCTGGCGGGGCCCCAGTGGAGGATGATAGGATGAACATGATGTCAGGTCAGTTAGCCCATCGTAACAAATTCACCAGGAATTTATCACGATGGTTTCCAGGGGGAACCAAGTGGAGGTCAACCTGACGTAGTACATTGCTAGCAATGGGGTCATCAGTCCACATTACTAACAATCCCCTTCCCCCACATACAGGTATCTTGTGCTCCATATTCATTTATCATCAGATCAAGTTTGGAATAATCGCTTAAGAAGCTTTAGATCCTTTGTAGAAAATTTGGGGAGAACAAATATTTGAGGGTGTTTTTTTTTAATAGATGATAATGGAATGGTGTATCCGTTAGTGCAACGATATACGCTAGCGGGGCACCAGTAAATATGATGAGATGAGTTAGGTCAGTTAGACCATAGTGGCAAATCCACCAGGAATTCATCACAATGATTTAAAGGGGGAAAGGCGTGAAGTTCAACATGATATGGTACATTGCTAGCAATGGTTTTATTTGTTCACATTAAATTGAGGATTTGGAGGAGTGTAACGCAATAAATACCCAAAGAACTGAGACGATTTATAACATTATATTAATTTGGTAAATAGTCTTGTTCTAAGCATCACGATCTTGCAACATTATTATCAATGCATACGACCAAATATACTTAATAGCAGTACATTATAGAATGTTCTGCCACAGCTGGAATAGAATCAGACTGTATCCAATATTTTAAGTAATTAACTAGACTGGTTTACAAGCCAATAACCATCTCAAGAAAAGTAGCAACTATCGCGTGATCTGATATTATTATCATGTGTATAGAATCTATATATGTGTCTATAATATAGACACATATATAGATTCTATATATATGATCTATATTCTATACACACTCATGAACGTAACAGATATCACGACGCTATGGTCATGAAGGGAGTTTCCCATTTCCAATTTTTCAAACCTGAATTAATAATTGCAAATTCTTTAATTTTAATGACACAACTTTTAATTAAATGTGTATATCTAGTTGTTGCCAGGATGCTCCACACATCTATAGCTTAAATAAGTTAAAATAACTTGCAAAGCAAATGGCTTTACGGCAGCAGTGTACTTGAATACAGTAGTTTACCTCTGATTAGAATCTAGAGAATCTATTAACGATATTTTCTTTTTAGTCCGCTTACACCTATGGGATACGGCGGTGGTATGGTGTCGGAGGCCCCAGTATGCGAGAGCACGGATTCTGAACTATGTAAAGGAGGATTTTTGGGATACCCTCGCTACGAGCTGGGGTACAGACAACCCCCACATCCCTATGTTAATCACCATGGTTACCAGCATGAAGCATCATCACCGCCTCCAGGTTAGAAAAACATATATTTTCATATTATAACTAGGACAAGATGTCATGTTCATGGTGCTGATTATGTTTATACGTGATATCTGTGGTATTTTATTTTATATCACAGTATTGGCAATCAAGCATACGCCCCGTCTGATAGTAAAGCCTACGGACGCCTGAACTACCAGGGTCCGTAAATACAATGTCACGTATCTGTTGCCGACACTTATGAAACCTTAATATACCCCTTATGAATGATTGGATGGATTTACCAAGAGATCGATAGACATACGTATATAATGAAAATGAAACTACACTATACAACGACGTATCACCGAGTCCGAGTCACTAGTCAACAAAATAATTTTAATATTTTGTTAATATTTATAAGATAAAATATTTAAGTTTCGTGACATACCTAATACTTAAATATACTCATACTTTAAAATGGGAATGTGTCACAAAATTTAAGACCCTTCCCTTGTCACTATTTGTCGACCTCCCTGCCTTACAACGTGTGACATAATCTATGGACAATTGAATAATCGTAATTATTTGTAATTGCTTTTCGTTTAGTTATGTTTCGGTTGTAGTCAGGTTAGACAGTGTAATTACAGGATAAGAGGCATCACATCTTAGACCTCTAGAATGTCACTCCGTAGTCAATTCATGTATACATTTGGGCGAGGTTAACCGCTAACCTTTAGTTGATCCGTAAGCTTGTTTGTGAGTCCAATTATATAAAAAAATCTTTATCTCAATTACAGAACTTGGCGGTTTACTTGGCGCCGGTGTGTCGGTACCGCTGGCTGTGCCCGGCCAAGACTCGCAGCAGTACTGGTCGCGGCTGCAGTGACCCTGGTGGAACTAACTTGGTTTTTACACTCGCACCCATTATAAAATATATCAACATCAACAGAATTGTCCAAAGTTTTTCTGGTAAAATTATAAAATAATTATTACTGGATTGTAATTTTTAATATGTCAGTATTGTTTTAATCAAGCGTTGAAATAAATATGATGATATAAGATCTACACCTACCTACTTGCGTTAAAATAAACTCCACAAAATATAATACTTTATGCCTATAAAAATCTCTGAGTAGAATTTGACGCAATAGATGAAAACATGAATTTTGGAAAGAACCAACCAATAGAAATAATTAAAGTAGAATCAAAATATTTTACATCTGAACAATTATTTAATTAAAAAGCCACATTAATAGAATTGATAATAATCCATCAATCATACCTTTAATTATTCTTCATGTTTCCAAAGATAATATTGAGCTTACACTGTCTCAATTACACATTTTATTAATGACTAGCTGTTCCCGCGACTTCGTCCGCGTGGAATTTAACTTTATTTTTCTGAAATAAAGTTAAATTCCACGCGGTAATAATTTTTTTTTGGTTTAAGGAGTAGCCTAAGTTGCAGTAACTTAGGCTACTCCTTAACCTAACCAAAAAAGTCCCGTCAAAATCGATCCCGGCATTTCAGAGATTAGCCGGAACAAACAGGCAAAACTTGTAAAAAAGGTTATTTTGGTATATGTACCGTATTTATATTCATATGCATGTAGTAAAAAACGGTTATTTCAATATTACAAACAGACACTCCAATTTTATTAAATGTATAGATAATGAATGAAAAAATTATGATGGAATTGTGATAAATTCTAGTTCCATTAATAGTTCTTGTTAACACGGCACCGTTGAATGGAAGTTTGGAACCGGAATCATTAAATGGAGCTCCTATATTAAGGTCTACATATTTATTTTTATCTCTAAGTCGGTTTGGCAGTGAAATATATACATATATAAAAGTCTATTCCCAATCATCGTGTAGATAGGCAGTTATGTTGTCAATTTAGAAGAATTGTATTTTGTCTGAACAGTATATCTACGCTTCTTCATTTCTAACAGTATCACTAGGACCCTTTATAGAAGACACCCCTCCTTTAACTTGACTAATTAAATATGTGCCAAAAATGATTCTCTGGATACTGTTCAGACAATTTTTATGTAGTTACGATAAAAAAATCCGTCGCTAATTCACTTATAGTATAAAGAATTAACATATCCATTAGTTGCCACAAAACGATGATATGAACACAAAGTATAGGCTCAAAATGTATTTTATGTACTTATGTAAATGTGTAAATTAGACTATTTCATTCAAATTGGTAGTACAGCCAGCTTCTTATAGATCTAACTCAGGCTATCAAGGATGTGCAAATTTCAATCAATTATCTGTGTAGAAAATAATTACCTACGTAAGCAGTCTCAAGTAAACATATTGATATAGTCATCCAGTGGCCAGTATCAATAAATAACTTTGCAACATTTATTCCAAATATTATGACATCACTTTTATCTTTCCATATACTTGACGACTTAACTGAAAAAGTATATGATATATTAGACTTTCACAATAACAATCTCTTACTGAAACATCGCTTTTATGCACTTAACGTCTTTTTGAAACTGTCTGGATGTACATTTTAGCACGTGTAATGGCTATAGGTCATTATTTAAAACTGTGTATAGCACATGACTTTGTGGTAAGATATTGAATGAAATAATTTAATATTTAAACATACGTGTTACATTTCATTTTGTAATTAATTACCTAACGAGTTTAGGTGGTAGATTAAGGTTAATATAAGGTCCTGGCTCTGCTATGTATAAAATTGTTGTAAATGTTTTCTATTACTAAAATAAATTTGATCAATTAAATTTTGTTGAAAACGACAAAAAAAGTCTTTAACAATGTTCATAGATGGTAAAGTGAAAATCATCGTATGCATAATTATATCACATTAACTATGTATCATTTCATTTTTATGAGAAACAGGGCTTCGTAGGATTTAAGTGAGATTGTAAATAAACTTTTGATGTAAGTACCACCCAACGTTGATTGTGAATCTTTTGATGTATCTATTATTAGTTACTGAAACAGTCATAGTGGCAATAGTAGCTGACCATTTCAGTTTCACCTTAGTCACCTAGGGCATCCATTATCCACACATCACTTATAGTTGATCTCAAATTATTGAGGCGTTATTTTCGAATTTATTATTATTAGATTGTAATTGTACCTATAGTATAAGTAGGTATATATAAAATTGTGAATAATTGTGTGATGTCGATGAAACATTTTAATAACAACATTATATAAATACATTTTTGGATCAAAACTTTGTTTTTATTAGCACTTTTCGTTAGATATGGGCAAGTATTTTAAACATCATGACGAAATAACTACTATCGAGATTAATAAAAATAATATTTATTAATATTAATAATAGATAAACATTTAAGCACAGAGTACCTCATTAAAATTTTTAAACATTTTAAATCAATAATTATATGTCCTATTACAATTAAGGCGTTTCTATATAACTAATTTGTAACAAATGTATTTATTAATTTGTAATCCTATCATTGGAATTAAAGCTATAATCAACATTGCACCACGGTGCAGTTTCCTAAGAATATCTAGTTTTTGGTCCAGTATTTGCAACCATTGTTGTCTTTATAAAATGAAAAATCTACTAAAGTAGTTCTACGTATTCCGCATATACAATCTCATTGTCAGTATAGATTTGTACGGCTTGTACAAATCTGTTTGTACAGTATCATCTTAACTCAAAAAGTAAATCAATACTTCTAAATCATAAATCATTATTTAGAAGTGCATCAATATGACTGATCACATTTTCAGAGCCATCTCCTTTGTTTGCATTTCTGTGACAGCTAGCGACTACGTCGGGTACATTCTTGACGAAATCCAAATCCGATACTGTAATATCATCCTCCGGATCGTCGTCGCTCAAATCAACTATGTCTACTGGCTCGCCTATTCTAGCTGAATCTACATCTATAACATCATTATCTGACAAATCATTGACATCTATGTGCTTATTATTAATTTCTATGCTTACAATTTGTACTTCTGAATCGGAATCGTTGTCAGCTTTACTACCTATACTAGTTTGATTTGTTTCACTTTCACTATTGTCTGATCTACTTTGAGTACTATGCCTATTTCTAATAAGTCTAGGTTTCGAGGTTTGTTCGGTAATTTTAATTCTTTTGAACTCGTGAAAGTTATCATCTAGTTCGTCATCTTGTATATCATAGATGTCACTGATTTCTGAAAGAGTTCGCTTTCTGCTTACACTTTCTTCCGTTTGTTTCTGTTCTGTTTTTGATTGACTAGACGGGGCTGGTGCGGTTTTATCTACTTTCTTATACACTATAGAGTTACTACTAACAACTTTTATTATTTTATTGCCTGATGTCGTGATAGCCTCTTGCGTTGATAATCTACGTTTCCGACTCAAATTTAAAGTAATAGGGGTTGTATGTATAATCGTTTCATTTTTCTTCCTAGCTCTAATTTCATCCAAAGACAGCACCTTGAAGTCTAACGAGTTTCGTCTTTCGGTAGATTGTTTTTTACCTGAAATCTCGTCAAGTGACAGTTTATCATATTTCGTATTCAAGTTGGTCCTCACTATTTTGCGCTCTTTAGCAGATTCCGCGGGCGGTAACGCGTCATAACTGTAGAAGGCGGCTGCCTCGGCTTGTATTTTCTCAAGCAAAAGCAGCTCTTGTGATTTGGTGCGAGCGATTCGCTGTGCGTCGTCCGGGGACACCGTTTTAGTGGGTGTTGAGGAAGGAGCGCTTTCATTGTCCGACTCTGCAAGAACACACGAAGTAATCGCTTAGTGAGATCGAACGCGAATCTTTAAACTCATGATTTTCGTAATTAATTTTGAAACGACCCGACACGATTACTTGCGGTGTGTTCTCGTTAGGACGACCTGAAAGTTCGGGGTGGGCGGTCAAAAATAATTACAAAAATCATAATTACGAAACATTTTATTTACTCGTTGGTATATTAAACACAATTTGATTAAACAAAGCCAAATATATTCTGTTCAATACGAGTTCCTATATCAGTTTGAAAGTTAAGTAAAGAAAATCTTAAACACACGCGTTACTAACATTATAATATTGAAATTCTTATATAACATAAGACTAAGATTAACATAACAACAACCCCGTTTTAATTCAAACAAGAAATCAACAGCTCTATCTAGCACGGCGACCGGCGCTCGCGGCCATCTCCTCCGCATGAAGATCTTGGATGCAGCGGTGAGGTCGTGCCAGTTTAAATTATATTCAAACTATGTCTACATTACGGCCGTACTAATACGCCTATGTAATATTCTCCCGTGACCCACATGTCATGCGCCACAGTTTACAAATACAAAAGTGCATCACTCATTTTATCTTATCATTTCCGTACACAAACTTTATAAAATTTAATTTCCTTAATAATAATCGATTTGTTTGAACGTCGACTGTAATACATATAAAGTGAAATAAAGGCAAATTAACAAGTCGGTTTCCGTTTTTACGTCAACAAATCGATTAACAAGGAATATTAATTCTAACATCCTTGACAAAGCTCACCGCAAGTCTTCACCATTTTTAATTTGTCTTAACATGTAAAAGTTTGACAGATCGTATATAGTTACTTACTATCTAGTATATTATTTTGCAACATATTTTTGGACTTGCAGTGATGCGTCATATCCAGCGACTCTCATTATTCCACAGTTTTTTCCTTTCGTGTTAACGAAGCGACTTCAAAAACAATTCGCTTTAATTAAGCTGCCTAACAGAAAACATTAACAGTCCAACAACTAATCTAAGAAAAAAATAAATAGTTCCTAATAAAGGACAAGACTAACATTACACTACGTATTAATCTATATATTGCTGTTTGTTAAAAAAAACAATAGTATTTAAAAAATTAAAAAATAATTGCCTGACAGTATGCTGCCTCGAGTAAAAACAACCGGATTTTGTACTAATTCATAATAAGTCATGAATATTTTAGTCAAGCCATTTTCGTCTCAAGGCTCTACTCTAATTATGGCAAATTAAATAGAAAAAGATTGAAACTAGAATTATTTTTCAAATGAACATATTTTGTTATATAAAAATGTATTCGTATCTTACGCTATCGCAACTTAAAAGAATGTTTATTAACTTTTATATATTGAATAATTAGCTTTAGGTATATATAAATAATGACTAGGCATTCCATGGACCATAGACAATATCTAACAATTTTGCTGCTTGTTTTGTCCTGTTCATATATTTTGCAGTTTTGTAATAAATATAGGAACTTTACTCTTGGTGCAAAAATATAAAAAAACGAATAATATTTCTATTTCGAAACACAGGAATTATTTATCTAAACATTCTTACTAATCATATCAAAGTGCTCGGTATTCGGAAGCATTATTAAAAGTACCCAAATTGCTAAGCAATTATATGCTATTATTTTGGTTACTCGTTACCTTAACTCCCATACTTGGTAATACGTCTTAATAAGCACGAAACTCTTATATTATATTAAGCACAACAACCTGTCATTGTCTGTGGTTGTATCAATAAAAATCAACCACAAATTGAACTGTGCTTCTATAACTAGATTTTTTATATTTTATTAGCTCTATCTAATTCCCACGGTGCGAATAGAAGTACTCGGGACATCTGACAGTGTTACCATTATATACTGCCGGAGCCCCTTAAAACCTCCTACGTATTAACATACAAACAATTTAAAAGGCATAAAGCTTTTTTTTTTATTTTTTCATCACCTAAAATTAATGAGTTACAATATTCGTGTATATATATTTTTATTTATATTTTATATTATTTAACCTATTTATTATGTACTTCTCTATCATAGACAAAGATTATATCAACATCTATTTTTTATATATTGCAGTGACATTTTTAACAGCGGTCAACACATTTGGACTGTCCACTAGAATTGAAAATGTGAATGCAATATATGATTTATATCGTTACATAGTTATATATTAAATGAAAAAGCGAGGGATATTTACGAATCTAATTAGCTAAGATATGAAAGATTATAATATTCTCTAATTTATTGCACATATAAAAATACCAACTTCAACTCATCTTCCCTGTTCTTGTGTCCTGTAAGAATATCTGGACTAAAAGATATTTCGATTATAATATTTGAATTGCGTATTTTATTTAATACTTTTACAGAACAACGAGAATATTTAATTTAAAATATTGAATTAAATATTTCGTTATAAATATATATTGAACATGATAACTGGACCTAACATCTAAAAAGTTTTTGTAATATTGTTTTTATAATTAACAATTCCATGTGCCGTATAATTAATACTTAATTCTTTAGACACCTTTCGAGTAATAATTAACATTTGATTTGGAGTTTCAAAGTATTTTTCTTATTATTTATGGTCAACTACATTAAATATGATGTTTGTCGTTCAGAAATATACTCTGCCATAAGAGTGATTCTTTATTAATGTGGGTAATTTATCCAGACGACTTAGTATCTTTTTAGCTGACGAATAACACGTTACTACACACACACATATATATTTATATAAACATATATATATATATACCATACCATTTGGTCTAAACTCATTTGATTTCGTTTTCTAAACTCTCCATTCTATAAGTTCTGTTTTTACTTGATAACTTCTTCAAAAAACATCAATTCAAACCAGATATTCTAAAGGACACTTACATCATTCAGAGGCAAAAAGCATAATGAATCGAGCTGATTCAGTGCTTTTTCTCTTTAATCATTGTCTATGGTATAAAAAATAATAATACATTGTCTATGCTTATTAAATCAACCCAACTGTCGCCGTGTTTGGCAACATAACCTGTATTCTAAATAAAATACATCTCCTTGGATCCAGTTTCCAATGCATAAAATATTAAAAATGTTCAGTTCTTTATTTTATTTTTAACTTATATGAAACTGAACCCAATTAACACTATATAATAAATACTATTATAATTGACTATTGAGAAAAACAAAATACTATGTTTAAAATAAAAATATTCTAAGTCGCGCCAAACGAACTAGGAGAAAAAAACTAAATAATATTCTCTTTCTACACAACAGTTTTAAAGAATAAAAAGATGACAACCCGTCATAAGTATGTATATAAAAATCCCAGCGTTGGCGGACAGTATAATATAAGTAAAAACATCCTTAACAACTAATAAACAACGTGTGATAAAATAAATATAATCAAACTAGTCGTCTAACACATCCGTGTGAATGAATGACATGTATTCCATGAATTGGCACGTAATGCAACTAAATTTGTCAGTCTGTATTATTAGTTACAATTTCCCCCGTATTCATTAAGCAATGAGATACCACCGTGAGCGCAGTGAATAATTTTGACTGCACATTATTTTTCCTTAGTTCATATTAATAATACTTTCCGTAACTAATCGATATGTCTCCAATTCAACACCAAGTGTTACCAGCCCTGCATCACTTCTTCTACTCACTCACGGTATCACCTCAATTTCATAGCAATATAACATTAGTGCCATTAATATATAAAGTTTGCAAACCCCCCAACGTACAGCATTAGTTATTAAAATAAAAAATGAGCGTTCAAAGTGTTAATATAATATCGTTATTACTTAACCCTATGCACTCCGACAAATTAGAATGCAGAGTTTTCAATACTTAAACTATTGTTTCAATACTTTAATAAAATAAAACAGATACACCATTGGTACATCAAGATGTCCAGGAACAAAATACAAGTTCACCCTCTGGTATTAAAATTGGATATTGAAAACTCTTATGCATTCATACAATAATAATCGTTATCGGCTACTTAAATATCATTTTTAAACCTCACCAAAATGCGTAATGTGTAAAACATTACGCTTTTTGTGTTACAAATGTAATCAATTTCACGGTTTCGACAATGCTGGTGAGTTTAAAAAAGTTACAATGACACCGAACTTTAAGCCCCTATCACACTATATAGCAGATATCTGCAGGCGTGCTCCGCTTCTCATCGACAGTAACAACAAATTGCATATTAACTTTTAAAAGAATGTAATGTATAATAATATGCGAATTAACTTTCAAAAAAAAGACCGTATAATACTAACTAGTATCATAAAAAAATAAATTTTCAAATTAAATTCAAACAATAAGACAGTGGACACGGATCGTCGATGGGAAACGGTGGCACACGAGAGCACGTGTGATCTCCGGAGGGGCTTAGTACATATAGTTTCAGTAGAGTCTCATACCTTCCTCGAAGTTGACGACGAGGGGGTCGACGGGCAGGGGGGCGTAGGGGTTGGGCGCGGGCTCGTGGGGGTGCGGGTGCGCGTGCGCGTGGGGGTGCGGGTGGGGCGCCAGCACGCGCCGCCCCAGCAGCTCCGCCGACGGCAGCACGCCCAGGATGGCCGAGTCTAGAACCACTGCCCCGTCAACTTTACTATTGTAATACTCAGCGCCATCTCGTACACCCACTATGTACATTCTTTAAGATCTCATAGCACATTACATTAATTATGTCACACGTTAAATGGGGAGGACAAAAAAAATATTTCTATAATATTTATTTTATATTTTTACTTATAAGCGTTATTGCACCAGATACAAAAAATAATAAATACACCAATACCAAAGGTGGTATCGCTAAGAAATCTATTACAGACAATCTTTAGGTGGAAAGATATGAGAATAGTAGGTGGTGCGTAACAATACAATTAATGTATATATTTAATGAAATTGCTAAATATGCGACGTCACATTGCGAAGGATGTATGCATAGTTCAAATGTTACCAGCTTTTGATAGGTAATGAGAATGTTTAAAATCATAGTAAAATTCGTATGACGTAATTTATAGATAGCGCTTTATAGAATAAAAACAACTTTAGTTTTAATGGGAATAAACAAAAACTCTTGACGTACTCAAGAGTTTTGTAGTTTGTAGAGTCTTTGAGTAGTCTTGTTGAAAATATCGCCAATCAAGTTTAAACAGAAAGTTATTAAATTAATAATAAACGACCTATTAATAATTACAATTATGAAATTTTTGTATTTAAGAAGAAGTTGGATCTTTGATACGTCGATACGAAAAATATTATATTTATCGTATAGACGTATCAAAGATCCAACTTCAAAGAAAGAAAAAAAATGTCCAGCAATATGTCAAACAGATTCATGTTTCTAAATCCTAAAAGTCAAAATATAGTAATAAATTACAGAAAAAAGCAGACAAACACACATCAAATCGTCATATTAAATCGATAACTTAATTTGCATTATTAAGATGTTTCATTTGAATATTTATAAGATACAGTTCGGAATGGACAACATGTATCAGTTACCTTGTCTCTGCTGCGGCCACAGTAGCGGCACAGGCGCGGGCGCGGGCGCGGGCGCGGGCACGGGCACGGGCGCGGGCGCGGCCGCCAGCGGAGCGCCCGCCAGCACCTCCGCCGTCACCTCCGCCGCGCCGCCCACCGCCTGCGGACCGGCCTGCAGGCAACACACGACGCATTCACCATTTGTGGGGGGGGGAATATTAGTAATGAGAACTAATGACGACAAAATAGGCCTAGCAATTGATTGTAAACTACCATGTCAATTTGACTTCTTTCCTTGACATTCCTGGTGAATTTATTCAAACCCACCTGACTTCATCCTAATGCTATTATCCTTCTTTGGTTGAGGCAGAAGTGCGGATTATAAAGTCCATATTACTATATATTACAGTTAGTGCAGGAGAATTTACCATTACATATTCATTGAATAAAAATAAAACATTAAATATGTATGTATATTAGTTACTTAAGTTCGATGAATGGTTTACCACATACCATTGCTCTGCGATGAATGCGTGTTTGATTATGAAAACTGCTTCATTTAGGACAAGATAACAACGCTATATTGTTTGTCCATGGTTATTTTTTACTATTGTAAAAAATAGTAAATATGGGACAATTTATTGAAGAAGCAATGAAAGTTAGTTTCTTGTCAGTTCTTTTCAACTAACGTAGCTAGCTCAATATGATTGAAGTTCACAAAAAAGTATTGCTATGTTGTATAAGCTGATATGTATACTATTCATAAATCAGTTTTTTAATTTCTAACAAAATATAATCATACCGATGCAGGTGGTGCGGGCTGGCTAGGCGCAATGCCGTCGGTGCGCGCATCTGGGTTCTTGTGCATAAATGGGCAGTGCTTCTTGCGACAGCCACCAGGTTGGTTCTCCCAGTAACATGGTATCTGCTTGCGATTTTTCTAAAACAAATTTGGAACTTTTATTAAACTTTCAGGACAATTTCATTAATATAATAATAATAATATCTTTATTGTCTAATAAAGATATATATATCTTACTTATTCATACATGTATATAATAATTTTGTTTACTGTATATTTATATAATATATATATGTATATATATATCTTGCATAGTTATTTATATGTATTAGCAAATTTAAAACAGCTCTCGCTAATACCCCATTACGCTTTCTGTTTATACCCTAAGGTTAACTGGGAGAGAATGCCATACGGCATTAAGCTCGCCTGTTGTACAAAATTTTTTTTTTGTTCAATAAAGAATAAATAAATAAATATTATTATATTAATGAAATTGTAAATATACAAAAAGCCTGTGAAAAATATAAATAATGATTAGATCCAGCTAGTTTTGAAGCTACTAAATACAAATAAATATACACCTAGACAAAAATATCTCCTCTAGCGATCATGTGAAACAAATAAATGAGATGACACCTCACTGGATTGTGCCATATCTCCTAATGCCCTTAGCTGGAAAAACTGATTGCGGACAGAAAACCGTAAAAACAAAAAAAAAACTAAACAGAATATATTTTAGGAAAATACTGACAAGAAATGAATAGGCTAACTACTCCCTAGGTACAACGTGTTGAAACTATAAATGACGAGTTCAGTTTCCAGAAATTTCATGTTGTACTTTTATTCAAATAAATGTAAACCACATGATTAAAAATGTGTGAAATGTTTTTGTATAAGCTGTATAAAATGTAATTTTTGCTCCTTATACACTATTTATATTATTAATTTTAATAGGATCTCATAACACTAACTCATTATTTCTTAGTATCAGTTTGACCAATAATTAAACAACATTTTTGCATTGTCTTTATAGCTGATAAAGTTATAAATTACAAACATTACATTAAATATGAATGCATACATACCCTAAGTTCCATGTGGCGAAGTTTGCAGCGTTTGTCAAGACACTTGCCCTGTTGCCAAGCAGTGCACATTGTTTCGCAGCCCAGAGCTGACGGCTCATGGCGGAACACACAGTTGTCCCCCTGAAGAATAATTATTTAATGAGGACCATACAACAAAAATACTTTGCAGCACAGCTATCTGAATGTGAAATAAGCTGTGGGATAAATAATGACTCCAAAAATGCTTACAGGCTGTATAAGTGGTTCGTTTCAGTTATTATTATACATATTTAAACTTATAAAGTATTATTTTTCACCAGTCTAAACTTTCTATTTGTAAAAACTAAAACATTCCCAACAAGATCATTTTAAATATAAGACGCCTTACTGAATGAGTCAAGGGGTGTTTGGACAGACAGGACAGAGATGCAATGTGTTTATTAAAAAATGTTTAGGAAAATTATTTAGTCAGGAAACTTATTTAAATACCAACAAAAAATAAACTGCAAGATGTACCAAGAGTAATTAATCACTTTATTTCAAATAAAAAAAAATTGGAGAAACGGAGAAAATGTCATAAAAGTACAATAGTAAACAGGATGCCTTTCATGTTTATGTCCTATTTTTATTAGTTATCAAGTTTTAATTAAATGTTATTCTCTGATTCATTCGAGCATTGACCTATCAGATAACCTTGATCTTGAAACTGAGAATAATGACTAACTATATACAAACACTTTACACTTTCATTCATGATAAAGCTAGATTTACTACAACTCAACCAAAATGTTGCAGTCATAACAAAACAAACACTTTAGTCATAATAATAAACATAAAAATGATTAAAGTTTTAATTGAATTTCTGTTTGACCTTTCTGGAATAGGGTTGTGGAAGACAGAGCTCAATGGAGAGAACTGGAGGCTAATACCAAATGCACAATGAGTTGTATGACATATTGAAATATGAGGTTTTCAATATGTATTGTGGGGTATATATGAGGTTGAAAAAAAAAGTTGGTTGAGAAATTTATTATGATGAACAAGTCACTATGCAGTATGTCGGCTGGGTAAGCTTTACTGACACTGGTGGTTGGAAAACAGTCTAAACTAAAAATAACTAATAGACAGTGCTGTATTAAGTTAATATAAATTTACATTGTAGCAAATCATTCACACAGTGTAAATTGAACTCGAGTTTAGATTGTAAAAACATCAAAATCCACAAGTTATATTTCACTCTTTATGTTTGTTTTTGCAAGACCATCACCAAGTTTTAACATATATTACAACATTTATCTTTCATTGGTGGAGCAGAGACTAAAGAACACTATGCTTCCAATCAAACACACCCTTTTTGGTTCCTCAGTTAGCAGTCAGATATACATTTTTTTAATAAGATGGCACACAGACTGGTCTTGTGATAATGCTAAATGCAGTGATAATGCTCTTCATGTATACATGAAGAGCATTATCCTCTATTTACAAGTTTAAATAGGTTAATTATTAATATAATTTTTAAATTAATCATCAACCTAAGTATCATTTTTTATCTAAAGAATTTAATTAGATAGCAGTAGGCTCATTACCAGAATTTTATTCAAACACACACAGTAAAATGTTATTTACATGTGAAAAATATTGCATTCATCATGCTGTTGATAATTGTAGTACTACTACATTTGGGATATTATAGTATATATCTCTTTTTTTTCTTTTTACGAATATTAAGATACAGAGTAGTCAATATTTTGGTAGCAATATTTGAAATAGATATCAATGTTTAGTTATCAAGTTACTACATAATATGTAACAAATCTTCCATCACCTCAATACCAAACTATTTACATATAAACAATGCTTTATTGAAATAATTTAATATTTAGTAAGACAATTTTTAATAGTAAAAGTAATAATTATAGTCCGATTGTATAAGAAATATTGAATTCTTCCTACAAAAAATTAAACTATATTGGGTTACATTCATGACACTACAATTTACATGGAGCAGTGTCCACATAATATAAACATTTGAAAAGACAAAATAAAAAGTAGGGTTATTTGTAAGTCATTATATTTGACAAAAACGGTTTAATAATATACTAAGTAAAAATCTAAAGACATCCAATATAGTGCAAGGGTTTCATAATAAATATGCTTGCTTATTGCAAGCATATTTAATAAAAATGTAGGTTTTAAAACACAGATTTATAAATACCATGCTGTCTTTAAGAATTATTGTAAGTAATCGCTCACCTTAGTGCATGTAGAATAATAGTAGAAATAACAATCGTTAAATTTTCTTGGGGATTCCATGGTGTTTTCCGCCGCCAGGGCCTGTAAATCAGGACAATTTTAAGTAGTTAAAAACGGTACGACATTTAAACAATTCATTACAAAGAAAGCATGGCAAATTCTACAAAAATGTTTTAGTTACCATAATAATAAAAATAAAAAACAGATAGTTTAAGAGAACTCTAAGATTAAAAATTTTACATTTGACAATATAAATGCACGTCGCGGCGAAACAAATTTCCAATTAAAAAGTATTGATATGTCAAAATTTGGTTAATTAATTTACTCACCGTCTAGCAAATAAACTAAAGAATAATTAAATTATACAACAAATATTTACGCAACAGAGGTATAAACACAAAATAATACGAATGTCACTATTGGAAAGAAGATGTAGTAGATATGGCGGACATGTGGCGGTGGTGAACTTTCATTTCGTTTGGTCGGTTTTGGTTTATGGTTTTTGTTGAAGTGTTGCCAACAAAAAATAAACGAGCTCAGTAGTTGAGGTTGAAGCATTCAGTGCTCCTGAAACATTTATCAGTAGCTAGATTTATGAAACTTCTATTTGTTAAGTTTCATATTATAATATACCATATTTAAATAGTAAATAATCGAATACAGTATTTGTAGCTTTCGTAGAAATTTGTTCTTTACTTCCCCTTAAAATTCATCATTATCATCAATAAACTTGTGGACCTATTTTAGTGGTAAAATTAAATTAGTAGCAATACTGAGATAGAAAACTAATAGAATTTGTTGAATCGAAGAAACGAATAATTACCATAGAGCATTATAGACTATGGATTTAATAATATAAATACATGAAACAACGCACCAAGTAGTGTTTCTCTTTCTGAATGGGTCAATGTTGAGTGTACTTTTTTTAAGCTTCTTGTGCTGGTTACGTATTAGATACTTGGATAGATATTAATGGTGTGCCAGGAAACTGTAGGGTACGTGGGATTTATATAAATTAATTAAAAATTGTCCTCGAGTGGTGACCACGGACCGGAAGACGCAGCGTGGGAAGGCCTCCAGCAAGGTGGACCGACGATCTGGTTAAGATCGCTGGAAGGCATTGGATGCGAGCACCGCAGGACCGATCGTCGTGATCTTTGGGGGAGGCCTATGTCCAGCAGTGGACGTCTTCCGGGCTGCGATGATGATGATGATGATGAATTAACAATTAGGAAAAATTCTAAATGTTTGTATATCTTTCTTTATCGTATTTAGTTTCAAAAATACGGGTTCCAATTCAGACGTATTTTATGATACTATGAAATATGGCTATGTGGTTTCTACTTATATAAATAATTATGAAATATTAATTATAGTAACTATGATAGTTATAGAGAAATCAAATACTACAGCCAGTGTTGTATGAACTTTATTTATTATTACATCATGATTTACAATATTAATTTTATATAAATAAATGCTCACAATAATTAATATGAAGTCAAATTACAAGTAAAAAGCATATATTAGACATAATAGCAAATTAGCCTATAATGATCAAAATAATGAACAGAAAAATTGTTTGAAGTTTATACACCATATTATTTTTTGTATATTATTTTTATTGGGATCATTAAACAGCCACAGCATGTATAATAATTCTTTGTAAATTATGAATTAATATAACTTTATAATTGTTTTAAACACAATACAATTGTGAACTGTATCAATGATATTGGTATAAACCTTTTTATTTTAGAATACTATGGCATTTTTTAACATAGTAGCCTATATATAAAATAATGCTATGAAAATTATTGATTATATCATTACGAATATAAATGGTACATAAATAGGATGAGATTACGATCAATAGATTTGTACATAACAACCAATACTGAAGGGAATGTTTCGATTTTTTATTTAAATTGAATGGTAAATGGACATGACAATATGAAATGATTAGGGCCTCATCTCAGCTCACGAAGTTTTCTAACAAACCTACTGGATGACCACAATTCTCTCGCGCATCGAACAAAACTCGTACAAACATAACAACCAAAATGTCATCTTTTAGTTAAACAAAATAGAATAATGAGTATTGCTTAAGTATAACAAGAAAACTACCAGACAGTCTTCAAACTCAATAAACAAATTATAATACATAATTATGAAAGGAAAATTAATTACATACAATAACATTACATCAAAAATAGTTTTCATACACGATGAAAACTACATTGATTCAACAACTTCATAACCCAATAATTCACAAACTTAAACTGCCTTTTACAACCATCTATAGTTATATTTTAATTTTTTAATATTTACTAAATACGGAATAAACTGCAGGACTGTATTTCCAAATGTATGTTCAATATCTTTTTCATATTTGTAGTATATTAGATACATATTTAGATTAGGAATAAGATGGGGCATATATGCGTAAGATTTTATAAACGTGCAAACTATATGACCGTATGAATTACCTTCTTTAATAACTACATTTTAAAATATGACATTCCATAATATACATGTAAATCTATGTAACATGTTAAAAATATATATTCATATTGTATACTACGCAAACATATTAAATGTTACAATGCATTTTAAAAACACATGTAAACTGTTTCAGTATTATTTTAACTTTTAAGTTGTTATATTTCGCTAAGAAAAGAAGGCCTATAAATTAACATTACAGTTCTAAATTACTTATTATTTTAATAAGCTACATTTTATTCATCACCAAAACGTTAAATATACCGATACAATACTACAAGAGTTTAATATTGAACTAAAATAATTAGCCAGCAAGTATATAAAGAATATATTCGTGGTGAAGGCTTAAAACGTGATGGATATTTTATTTTTATTAATATATTAGTTCAACTTTGAGGAGATTTATTTTGTATATATTAAATATGTATTTTATATTTCACTCCTTAGTTACACATAATTCCGGTGTTTTATTAGTTACTTCAACTTCAAATAACAGTTCCCCTGCATGTAATGCAGTTTTTACATCTCGTTACTAGAAACAGATATATTGTCACAATCGCATTGTTAGTCAGGTTACAATGTAACGGATGCTAATGGGGCTATTAGATTATAATAGGCCCATTAGCACCATATATGTCTAACAGAGATCGGTATCTTACACGATTTTCCATGGCATGACGGAAATTTAGGACTTTTACAACTGCATATTATCTTATATTATCCGTATACTCATATATTTATTATTATATATTGTCATGGTAAAATCGGCAAATCCCGTACCGAGACTGTAAATTACAAAAGCGACCAATAGGTCGTTATTAGCAAGATACATGATAGGCCATAGAGTATAATGAAAATAACAGTGTTGGATAAAACATTTTTCCAATTACTAAATTATATGTAACTAAATGAGATTCGTTAGAAATTTTAATATATAGTTATAATAAAAGGCAAGTAGTCTATTTAGTACATTTTAACAGATATTATTATTAACAAGTAACTCATATTGTAAGAATTGTCCAATATATGAAAATCTATTCTACTTTGCTAAATTAATACACGCGTCCTAACAATTTCATTATACTGAAATATCATGAAATATACATACTTAAACGAACGCGTTTAGGTGGGTCGCGCGTCGTATAGTTGCTATGTGATTACAATGTGACGTGTGAAAGTGAGAGCTATACCGAGAGCGTGCGGTGGACACAGCCTTATCTCTTGGACGAACTTTTGATTTGTTGTAATTTTAGACGGAGCGCGTCGACGGCCGCTTCATTCTTTTGAGAAATGGTTTGTGTTGTATGGAGCTGTAAGAATATATTAGTTATTAACAGTGGTTGCCCAGTGGTCGATATTCGACCATAATAAAAACATATAAAAAGATATTTGAACCAGCAATGACAAATAAAGAAAACTGTATATATATATATATATGCACATACTACCATGTATTTCATACACACGCAGTGTATGAAATACATGGTAGTATGTGCATTTTTTTTTATTAAATTACTGTATTTTTATATATACACAAGGTAGTGTGTTAAATCACTAGACCGCCAAGGGCGTCAAATATGTTTTATAGTCACATTTACCTCTAGTTGCGGGTCGATGGAGTGCGTGCGAGGTAGCGTGTTATCGTTGATGGAATCTGTGAGGGCCCGGTTGTCTCCGACCGGGGTACGAGGCTGCGACGAAGGATTGCTGTCCGACTTGAGACCCGCCTTAGCCTGGCATATTAATAAGGTATATATATGTATATATTAATAATCTTACTAATATTATAAACGCGAAAGTTTGTAAGTGTGGATGGATGGATGTTTGTTACTCTTGTTACTTACGCAAAAGCTTAATGGATTTTATTCAAATTTTACAATAATTTAGCTACATTTGTAATGACAACATGTTTATTAATTAGATGGTTTCCAAGTAAAGACTTGTTAAACATTTAATTAAAAAAATGTATTTACTAATTTCACAAAATCAAAATGGAAGGACTGTTTTTTAAAGAGATTGAATCGAATTGAAACGAAGAAAATAATGCAAAGCATGAAATTAAAGCAAAAAAAAATTTATCCATACTTAAATAAATATTACCTTTGCAACTTAATATTAAACACTTTATGGGCTATAAATCAAAGGTGTCAATCAGATAAAGTGACAATCAAATTAAATAATTATAAAATTACTAATAGTGTATACATTTCACTTGAAAATTGGATATTAATATAATCAATTATATAAATACTTTACCATAGTAGACATTTCATAATGTAATAAGAACAATCATAAAAACAAAACATACCTGTAAAGCTCGTAGTCGCTCCAAAAATATAACATGTGACTTTTCATCATTCTCATTGCTTATATCTGTAAAAAAGAATATCTATTTAGCATTGGACTATGTCAGAGTTATGTCCATAACTTGAAACAATCTGGGTTAATTCCCAGTGACCCCATGTGATTCAAATTCATGCCTTAATGTAATGCAAGTAGGAATACTATTTCATTAATAACTATAGAAATCTTATGGAGTTTAACAAGGTTTTTATCCACCTTCTTTTCATCCCACTCGACCGTAAAACTATGTATCACATTTTTATTATTTCTATAATACATAAGGTTAACTCACCGATATTTTCCGTTTTGTAATCGTGTTTGTAAATGGGCATAGAGGCGAGTTTCCTTTGTTCAGCCACATCGCGTAAACCTCGCTCCACATAGTTACGGAAGTAGAACGATGAGCCCTGCATGAATGTCCAAATGTCCACCTCTGGATGACGCTCCTGAAATAGCATAAAACAAATAATAAACCTTTACCTTTGGTCTAAATATTTAAGATCACATTTTTACAGAGTGGCATTCGATTACATTGTTTTTATTGCATTAGGAAACTATATTAAAACATGAGAATGGCACTAATAAACAAATTTAGTTTATATAATTTTGAAACTAACGTTGAATTCTAGTGTTGACAGGCACATGTAGTTTGAAAAAAAATATTCGTTACCTTACAAGAATTATTAACAGTCTCGTTTTACAAATTTCAAATCGTTCTAGTCTAATGGGGCAGATATTGTAATAAACTTATATTGTATGGAGATATATAAACACATTATAACTAAAAAAATACCGGAAATCAATAGATATGGCCACTACCATGCCATCAGATTCTTAGCCATTAGAGAGGTAGTCATAACAAACAAAATAATAGTCTGTTGCGAATCCACTTTCAAGGGATATAACATAAAAGCTGCCTTTAAACCTACGCTGACATGAATTTGGCGATTTCACCGCGTGACTTTCACGCATGTATATGTACACAAACAGTACGAGATAGATCCCGTGCGCAGCCTAATCACACACAGTTTTAAAAATATATATTACATACATATACATACGCGCGATAGAGTGAACACACAATATTTAAATGCAATCGAGAGATTGTAATGTGAGAAAGCCAGAGCGCGTACTTGTAAAGGTCATTACCCTGAGATCGTAGAGCTGCGCGAGCGCGTCTCTGTTGTGGTCCTTGGTGCCGATGCGTTTGAGTATGAGCGCGAGCTCCTCGTGGACCGCCCGCGGCAGCCGGCCGGCCGCCAGCGTACTGTTGCTCGTCAAGTTGGTCACTCCCGGCAGAACACCACCACCGTTCAGAACGTCTGTCGTGTTCTCTTTCTTCTCGTCCAGTTTCAGTTGCTAAATTAATAAACAAACATAATTAATTAGAATCGGAGATATTTCAGTCGCCAAGCAACTTGCTTTGTAAGCTGTGTTTTTCGTTGTAGGGTCCAGATTAAGCAGTAAAATTACATAGTATGGATGAATAAAGGTATGACATGTTATGTCTCTGTAATGGCAATGCGTGAGTACAACATACAATGTATAATATGACGTCTTAGGTGCTGTTTATATATATAGGCGACAATTATTGCTTACCATCAGTGGAGTGTCAGCTTGTTTGCTATTCGAATAACTGAATAAGAAATATTTTGATACACTTTTTATCTGTATCCCATGACACTGGACGCGATCATTAATATAGATTAAATTATATTTTAAATTGACTACTTTTGAATTTATCCTTTACATTATATAAAACAATACCTTTTCTCTTTTTAAAATTAGTATACAAATAAGAGTTACCTTGAGAACTTTAAGAAGATAGGGATAAAGATCAGATTCGTTGACGTCTGGTATTTGGGTGAGGTGCGTCGTTATAGAGGCACCCTTCATCTTGACTAGAGTGTGCACAAGCGTTTTCACCGTTCTAAAAAAAACGTTAGTAATTTATTGACTTACTATTAAATAATTCTTGCCAAATCTGAAGAACTATAAAATATATGAAATGCAAAAGTTTAAAAGTAAACATAGGTAATGTAAATTTACCCAAAATACAATTATTCTCATTCTATCATGTTAAAACACTATTGTTTTGGTTTTCATGTCTTTTTAAATGCACATTCCGCCAGATATGTATTATTATTATTATGCTACTATATATACCATACACTCTTATTTAACAAATACATATAGCGTCTCAACTGGTATCCTAGATAGTTTTTATGGTATCCTTTCAATACAGCAGTTGCGCTAGAATGTCGAGTGAATCTCTAGGATTAGTTTAGTTTATTATTGGTGTTTCAGTTTGTTGTCAGTTGAAATATTGACACTGAATTTTTTTATGTTGGATGGATCTGACGACCTTTCAGTCTAAATTGGGGTAGTGAACTATTAAGGTCACAAAGCTCTCTAATTATTTAACAATAAATCTCACCTGTATGGAGTATCACTTATATCAGCATTTTTTTTCCAGTAGCTATTTGGGTAGGCCTTATAGAATAGGTGTATTTTGTACAAAACGGCGTCGTAGTCGATGGAATCCGCGTCCCATGTAGATATCATCTTGAGGGTCTTCCAGAAACACTTGAGCAGCAGGTCTTGGTACCGCGGGTACTCGGGGTCCGTTACACCGATCGATTCATGAAGCAGGGACACTATCGCACTATGTAAGAAAACGAATTATTGTACGTCTCTCCATGTATCAGTTACAGTAGCAGCAGTACTCTCCATGCAGCTAAGCAGCTTAATTTCTATTCTGTCTTTCTTTTGAAAAGTATCTTATTTAGTCCATAACAATATAACACATGAAAAGTACCATGGCCACCCAAAGATTTACCACCCACTTACCACATCCGTGCTTTTGTTCATGTACCACATGTATGAGATTGTTTTTTATTTCAGCAATTTTAACAAGCTCGGGTCTGATGGTAAACCGTCGCCTATGATAACCTTAATATAGGGGAATTGCAAGTGCAACTCACTCGTCTATTATCTTACCATGCCAAACAACAAGTTATTCCCTTTATTAAATAAAAAATATGTAGGTAGTTACCAGAGGAGTGCAGTCCGCGGCGAGTGCTCTAGCACGCGCACGCACACGTTGTTGAGCACGCGCACCAGCCGCTCGCCCTCCGCGCCCCCCGCGCCCCCCGCCGCGCCCGCGCCCCCCGCGCCGCCCAGCACGCGCAGCAGCTCGCCCAGCAGCGAGCACAGCGCCGCCTCCCCCACCTGCGACCCGCACCCCGCCGTCTCGTAGAACTGCGCACACAGACACACAACTGTTAATCCATGCGTCTATATATATTTTTTAATTCCGTCTTTGTAACTTAATTAATTTTATTATAGTGCACCGAACATTAGTATTCGGAAAGTTGAGAATAATGAGCATTGAGTAGACTCAACATAATATTATGTTGAGTCTACTCAATATTGAATCGAGAAAGAAAATATAAATCGAGGCTTATAAAATTTTAACCGTTTCGCGAATTTTATGTAAATTAAATACTAGATAATAATTCATTATAAATTGTAGTTTTAGTTTTAGGTCCTATTAGATCTGAAATAGAAAATACTGTCCGTTAGACACTTGTGGAAGTGTACCGCCATCACCAGCCGCTGCTCGTGTAGTGTGTAGTGTGTAGTGTGTAGTGTGTAGTGTGTAGTGTGCGGCCGCGTCACGTACCCCGGTGAGCGCGCCCGCGAGGTACTTGTAGGCGGGCAGCGCGTCGGCGGCGGGCGGCGGCGCGCTCCGCAGGCGGCGCACCTGCGCGGCCACCGCCATCACCAGCCGCTGCTCGTGTAGTGTGTAGTGTGTAGTGTGTAGTGTGCGGCCGCGTCACGTACCCCGGTGAGCGCGCCCGCGAGGTACTTGTAGGCGGGCAGCGCGTCGGCGGCGGGCGGCGGCGCGCTCCGCAGGCGGCGCACCTGCGCGGCCACCGCCATCACCAGCCGCTGCTCGTGCGCCACCAGCGCCGCGCCCCGGCCCGATGCCAGTGCTCCCGAGATCAGAGACAGCGCACGTATTGCCGCCTGTCACATGACACCAACGATCAGATCGCTTTTCACTTGTACCACACCACATAATTACGATGAAAAAAAAAAATTGATAAAAATGGCAAGTTTATCAAAACAGTTTCAGTGCTACAATATTGTGAAATGTCAAAACGTAAACGCAAATAGGTAATTTTACTTAGCGTTAATAGTCGTAAAACACGCGCATTTAGTAGTGTTAAGTGACCTTCTTAGGGTAATAACAGCAGAGCAGAATAGAATATGAAAATAGACATCACTATATCAAATAGTATTTTAAGGTTCATAATTAAATAAACTGAAGAATAATAATGTTATAATTACATTCAAGTCTGGACTGGATATGGAGTGTATGGTGTCGGCTAGCTGCGAGTCGTCGATGGCGGATGCGTGCTGCGAGTGTTGTGTGGTCACCAGCGGGTGTGGCGCCAAGTGGCGCGGTGGCGACATCGGGACCATGCTGTACCATTAAATCATTATTTACTTCAAATTACATTAAATGAAAAAAACATCTAAATATAGGGCTTTCTTTATGTATGTCATATTTTTTGTACCACTATACCTACCATCCAGTTTGTCTTAAAGTACTTATTAAATATTAATATAAGTAAGTATGGAGGTATGACATACTAATCTTACGAATTAGTATATGTACACAAGTGACGGTTATCATCAGGCGGGCCATTCCAACTCCATAACCAACTATATAGGTAGGTAGTATATATAGTAGTGAGTGCGAGATATGTACCTGTGCCTGACGGCGGGCGCGTGCGGGGCGTGGTGCAGGTGCGGGCGGGCGGCGGCCGGCACGGGCTCGTCCAGGAAGTGCAGGTCGAGCTCGGGCACGGCCGGCCGCCGCACCGCCGGCACGGCCGCGTCCAGCTGCGCGATCAGCTCCGGGTCCAGCCCGAACGGACCAGTGATCACCTTCGGCTCCGGCGCCGCTCTCCTGCAACCGAAAAGTCCATGTCGGTCTCACTCAAACTGACTCGTAGGTCTCATCGAGACGAGGATCAGAGGTGTGATTATTACAAACGACTAGTGATTCCACTGCTAGTGAGGTCTTATGTCAGATCGACCTCCAAAATAAAATCCCTATAATTTCTATAATTATAGGGATTTTTGTGGTTTTTTTACCTACCATACCCTATGCAAATTACTTATATGAGTATACATGTGACATAATACATAATTTGAAATAGTTTATGAATTTATCTTTTTAATTCTAACAATTTCGATTTTTTTCTTTTAAACATTACTTTAAATATCCCGTTGGTAGTATAATAACACTTACGGATTAGGTGGCGGTGGTGCCGGTTCTTCCTCTTCTTCCTCCTCATATTCCACTGGCGGATTATCCGCCGTTATCATATGCCTGGATGTATCCTCCTAAAAGTAAACAACATAGCAGCTATTAGCCCTCGACTTCGTCTGCACAAATTTTCGACCACTTCCCGATTTTTTTTAATAAAAGATACCGATATCCTCATGGTACTTTATGTTAATAATAACGTTATCAATAACGAACTGTTAGACACGCAAATAAATACTTTCGCATTTAAAATATCAGCATGGCTGATAGGACAAATAACACTTTATTTTCACATTTAAATACCACTAAACTTTATAACACAATTTACGATAACAATAAATTATTGCATTGTATTTATGATACACTTTCAAATAAAGAGACATTACAACTGACTAAATTTCGTAAACAAACATCACCATTTTGTAAGATGCAATTATTTATGCAACAAAGCGTTTTATGGCTGTTATGTTTACATATATTATTAATACTTGGACTTAACACGACATACACAATATGTTCTTAATTAAAAATCGTTCCAGTCATTTAATGATAAAGAGATTAGATAATATAATAAATAATTATGTATGTACGTCGTTTGAGTGATTTCCCTATCGTATCCATGTGAGTTGATCTTAGCGCACATATCCAAGGCTCGCTTATCAATGTTTTTTTATCATGAAACATCTATTTTTATTATTAATTACTTACTAATTACTTTCACGTTTAAATCTACGCATTTGTATGTATGTTAATGTCATGACACTAAATTTATAGCTGTATTTTCATAAATTTGTATGTATATAACATATATATAAAATATTAACATATATTCGATACTATTTTATAAAAGTAGATGTAGTATAGGTACCTTGTAAGGGCTTACATGAATACATATATGATTAATTATATAAATATGACTTGAATGGGGTATCGCAAAACTTTTTTCTTTTGGAGCTCCTATTGTCAATAATAAACATAGCTTATTAAGTAAAAAAAGTCGTTACGCAAGTTACAAGAGTTTCCTGTCTGTTCTTTTCACCACAAACTATAAACTAAACTGATGATAGATTTGACATATTCTAAAGGGTTTTTATTATTTATATGAATAAAGATAGTTAGATTTGATTGATTCAATAGACAACTAATTGTAGAAATAGTATATAATTAATTTACATAAAAAAACTGACAAAATTTATAAATTAAGCTTAAACAGTACGTAAATTAACATAAAGAAGGTGAGGTTACCTCAGGCTGCTGCATAATGGGTCGCCCTGAAGCCGAAAGCGGCACTACCATGGAACGGCGAACCTCAGCGCTGCGAGTCTTACCGGCGCGCTTTATTCGCTCTTCTAGAAGTGACAGATCTTTGTCTGATATCTGTAATTAAAAAGAAAAAAAAACCATTAGTAACCAGGACGTATCGTAAATTATCTGTTTACGATGTGTTTTCTTTATACATGGTGCTGTATACAGACTATAGTTGATACCTATTACTATTAGGTGGCCATTTACATTAAAAAAACAGGTTAACCGTTTCATCATTATCATCAACAAAAACATGCCAATACCTGTCCAATCATCTTGTAGACCTTCTCCCCTTCAAGGAAGTAAGCGGCGGCAATACAATTGAGCGCGGCAGATCGGACAGCGTTGTCTCTGTCGCCAATGTGTCGCGCCAGTTCCTTGAGTGCTGTACTGCCGCCACCACCGGCGGGGGACATCACTGTCGACCCGTATGTCTCCACCAGATGACCGATACACTCCAGACACTCTATAAAATAGTAAATACAATTTATATTATAGTTATTTTTATACTTTCGCGTTTACACATTATTAGTATCGTTAAACAGGTTTTAACATGAATAATTTTATACGTGCGAGAAATCCAACCCGCAATGAACTTAGTTAAAGCGGCGTGCTGAACCGCTAAACCACCGAGGTCGTCAAATGTATATGGCCGCCTAAGCTAACGGTATGCGCTGGTGGGGTACCAGTGGTGATAATCATCACTGATGATTAAAAGATGAGAAAAATATATGACTTCATTATGACCATTTCATCAGTAATTAATCATGGTAATATACATAGGAGGGGGGGGGGGATTTGCGTGGAGATCAATTTGAGGGGACAATTGGATAACTAGAAATTATTAACTACATGCAACAGTTGTTACGCTAAATTACACCTAATAATTATTACCATAAAGATAAAGATAGTAGGCACTACAAAACTCACCTGCTCGTTGTCTCGCATTCTTAGATTTTAGTCCTTCCATCAGATATCCGAACAGCTTAGTGACAGAATATACGACGCAAATCTGTCTGAACAAAGCTTTCACGCCATTTCGCACAGTATCCTTTGGGTCACCAACCTAAAAATATTATTGTGTACCTTGATATTATAATCATCCCGTTTAATATCTAAACTAATATGACGAAATTAATCACTCATTCTAGTTGTTGAAGGACTGAAATACATCTTTGAAATATAGAATATATATCTTATAAATGCCTATAATAGATCGTTGAATTAGTCATTACAAATACCAAATAAATACGATGTACCTTCATGTCATATTAGCAAAAATATTTATATATTAATTTACACAAATAACTTTTAGTATAAGAACTAAGTAACCTGGCAAAAGTTGTTTTGTCATATAAATTTTCTCAATAGGTCCCCATGATCACTTAGGGGTATAAAAATCAACCTACGACCTATTCTCAGACCTAACAAATATGCATCAAAATTGTATAAAAATCGGCAAAAACACTTTTGAAGGAGTTCTTTAACAAATATTGTGACAAAAGATCTTTATATATTAGAAGATTTGAAGACTTAGTTTAGCAACAGATAAAATTTAATGTATCAGTCATTGTCAAAACATATATATTTAAATAAACAAATTCTTACCTTGAGCACGAGGTAAGGTATAAAACAGTTAGCTTCATACTCTGCCATCGTGTAATCACTGTCCATTAGGTATTGGAATACTTGAGTCAAGTACTCCAGACCCTTCAAGATGACAGACGGGTTGGTGTCGAAGAATCGGAGGGTCAGCCATTTGAGTACTAGATCCAGATTAGCCATTAGTGCTGATCCATTTTCATGTAAGTCTTCTGAGAGGGCTTCAATCGCCTTTAGGTGATATCTGTGGTAAATATTAATGTCGCGGTAATACTTTGATTTAACGGAATATACAATTGTTAGAGCAGTTACACAATAATAATAATAACCCACGACATCAAAATATAACTATTCAAAAGTGCTTGTAATGAGTTTATTTGAATAAAGATTATTTCTATTACAATTTACATACAGCCTCAAGCTAAACGGGGCTTGTGTTCTGGGTACTAGGTAGCTGATACAAATACTTGAATGTATTTTTTGGTAAATACATATACAATATATGTTAAAAACAATCCAGAGCTATATAAACAACCATAATTATGAATACCAATGTTTGCGAGGAATCGAACCCAGACTATCAATGCTAAACTGTTAGACCACTGAGGCCGTCAACAATGACATAGGTAAAGATAGTTATAGTATTATAAATAGAGAGAATTTTGCTAGAAAGCTAATCTTCAAAACACTGTACCCACTTACAATGGACATTATTCTAAATAGAATGTGTAAAAAAAAAGTTATTGTTTTTATAATAAGGATAAAAACATATTATCTAAACAAGGTGTATAGAAGGAATATTGTATAGTGCAACACAGTAATAATAATCTATTTATTTAATTACCTGAAATCACTGTGGAACATATTCGCCACAAGTTGTTTATTTAGTCCAGCGGTGCCCATTTGCTCTTTCAATAACTCGAAGAATTCTTCACGTGGTGCCGTGAAATTCCATTTTAACACTACAAAAAATACAATAGGACTAAATAAACACTGGTTTAAACTTTTCACGGTAAATAATGCGACCGTTGCAAGTAAAGAGTTGTGCTAAACCGACCGACTGAGATCACCGAGGTCATAGATATTGAATATTACAGAATACTTAAATCATATTATCAGCAAGTAACTTAACTACTATTTCAAGTCGTATGTCGTAAGATACAGACATACCTTTAAGTTTCTGATCATCAATGATTCGCTGGTTCTTGGCGTTATTGTTGGGCAGCAGTGGTGTACAATCTTCATCCTCCTTCTTGCCACGACTAGACGCAGATGTGGGCTTCACTGGACCCTAAGTGAATTATAATAATGGTTACAAACGCGTTGGTAATACATTTGTATATTTGTTAAAAAAAACTGGATAGATGCGGCGCGGGGACCTTAGCAAAACAAGGTAGAAAGTTTTTTTTTTAATCCAATGTTGGCAATCAAGCATAAGGCCCATCCTGTTAATAAACGGTTATCGTTCCCTACGGAAGCTTGAAACATCAGTGGTATTACTTAATATACCATCATTCTTTAACAACTTTTTTGTGTGTAAGTTAATTACAATATTATTAATCACTTTTACTTTAAAAAGGAGAAATTAATCACAAACTAGGTATATATCTTACGTAACAATAGAACTGAAAAATTTCCAACAGAAAACTCGTTTAGTTTACTATAAGAAATTCTAAACCTAATATTATTAAAATAAAGCTTACTGGTACAATATAAAATCTTACCTTGCCCTTAACGGTAACGGTGCCCTTTTTCTCAGCTTCTTTCTTCAGGGCCCCCGCAGACTTAACTCCTCGCGGTTCCTCTTTCTTGTTTTTGGCAGGCAACGGCTGTACGGGTAGATTAGGTCGAGCCTTGTCCAGTGCCGCTTGAACTACCGATTTGGAGCCAGGCTGGTAGAATTTTATGATTTTTAAATTAATATTCAGTAAGATTTGACTCAAAAATATATAGCTATTGGAATGGTATATCTAGATGATTACATATATATGACATACATATATACAGAAATTATAAAAATAGAATTTTTATTCTCTCTAGATAAATATTGAAAGAACAATTTCATTTCTTTAGTGTTTGCTCGAAACAAGTAAGATATATAAGAGAATTAAGTAGAAACCTAAATTTATGAACTTGTATATTTTATAGTAGCTTTTCTTTTAGTCGGTTTCTTAGCCAATATTGGACTTTTATTAATATTATAAACGCGGAAGTTTGTGTGAATGGATGGATAAATGTTTGTTACTATTTCACGCAAATCCTACTGAATTGATTTTAATGAAATTTAATAACAATACACACATCACAATAACACAGGCTATAAATTTAATGTGGGTGAAATCGCGTTCACAGTTAGTGCTTCTGCTTTCTGCCTACCCCGAAATAGTCATGGCGTGGAAATAAATAGATTATAATATGTCAACTGACCTTGAGCTTGTCGAGCTGCTTGAACATGTGTTCGTACCCGAGGTGCAGCATGAACGGCAGCACGCAGTCTGCCGCAGCCTTACGGACGTCCGCCGCGCGCTCCTCCAGACACGAGTACAGCGTCGTCACGCACACCGCCAGCTCCTCGCGGGGGAACGACTTTGGCGGCACTGTATATACACCATACACATACTGTATATTACAACTATTACTCTACATATAACAAAATCGTACAATCATAATGAGACAAAAAATGCCCGAGTGTTAAGATTTCACGGTACAAATAGCTGGAGGAATATGGATAAAATTATGTATTTTGGTAATTTTTCATGTAATTGAAATAGCATAGAATCCAATGGCTACCAGTAACCATAGCCTAATAAAGAACTTAGGTTAATGCATGATGCATTGCACTCTGTAATTTGATTCCCCGTAAGAAACCAAATAAATGATTAGAGTTCATAGTTATATATACAGTTTTATACTGCAGTGACTATGGAGTATGAGGTGTAAATCATACAGTGTGCTTGCGGTGCGTGTGTAGTGCGCGTGCGGTACGCTTAGGGTTCGAGTGTGAATCATGTGTGGCGTGTTTGAGATGCGTCTGCATTGAGCTTAGGAGCGTTTAAGGTGCGTTTAAGGTGCGTGTGCGGTGCGGTCGGTAGGCGTGTGTGCGTTCGTCACCGTGCGGCAGGTGGTCGGCCAGCCACTGCAGCAGCGCGGCCCGGAGCGCGGGCGAGCCGGCGCGCAGGGCGTCGTGGACCATCTCCCCGTCGAGCGCGGCCGCCGCGCCCGCCGCCGCGCTCCACGCGTCCGCGCACGACACCGCCGCCGCGCGGATCCACTGCTTGCTGTCGCCGAACGCTGCCCGACAAACATCTCACGTCGTAACACACGACAATACCATCTATTCTAGTCCCGTTGACAGTAGGCGGACAGACGCGGCGGAGGCGAGTGCAGAGAGCACTCCAAACACCCTCAAATCACTGAGAACTGCCGCTGGATCGAACCTCGGCCTGAGCGTCGTATTAACGATCCTTATTGATATGAGAATGGAAAATTAATAGTAGCTATGGACCAATAGCAACTAAATGTATAAAAAAATATTTCTTACATTTTCTCTAAAGACTATGAATACTAAAATAATTTAACTTGCTAATGAAAAAAAAACTTAGTGAAGTACTTTATTTAAATAAAGATTATTTTTTTATGTCATGTGTAGGAATTGATACAAGATTCTATTTTACCTTGAAAGAAAGCCGGGAAGAACGTCCTCACGTGTTGTTTGCACTTGGGACCCATGGCAGAGGCAAGGGTTTCGCATATTTGAAGCGCACTCTGCGCTAACTTGGAATTGGAGTCTAACAGTCGCGCCACAAGCGCCGCTGGTAGCTCACCCAAACTTGGCTTTATGGGGGAGCTTGCTGTGATTATGGCTTTTACTTTGTCCAGACCTTCATTGCGAACCTGCCCAAAATAATAACTATTAGCACATACAGACATGGCTGTAGCCAGTCATGGACTCAGAATCGGACGGCAGTCTAAAATGTTATGTAACTAGCAAACTATACCTGCCATCTTACTCTGATTACTTTTTTCATACAAAATGGTTATGCCCTATAGCCCTCTGTATGTTATTTTGTGTTGACTGTCGAGTATGAACTTTCTTACGGATATTAAGAATCAGACTCAAATAATTCATTTTATTGGTTGTTTTAGGTACCTTACAGATTAAAACCAGGGTAGCGCAAGCGTCCTGCCATGTCCTTCCTGTCCATCCTACCCTATCGTGGCTACGCCCATGCATACAGAGTCATAATTGGAGGCATTTCTAAAGTTAAAGCTTGTAAACTAAATGTGTGTTTGTCTGATGAGTATAACTGGCCACATGCATGTTCGGTTATCTATCTGCATGTTATTGATATATACCTTATATGTAACACAAATGTGAGTAATATGATATAAAAACTATTCAGAAGAGCCATGAAAGTTATGTTAAACGTGAATTCAAAAATTGTGCACAAAAAAAGCACAGGAGTTAGTTGTTACTAAATATTTTACAATAATCGTCAGACTGCTATGTCTTGGTGCTGTTTACATATAGTGTGTCATATAGTGTACTTGGATTTCCATATGACTACACTATATGACTATGTTTACTCATCTGTCAAAAATCCAGACTATATATTTATATACTCTGGATTTTTGTAAACATCCCAGTGTTATCCCAAATTTAGTGTCCCATGATATGTTATAACAAATTATAATAACTATTAAAAGTTTCCTCGTTTACATTTTTTAAGCCACTGCTGAGATCTCCTTGCAAGTATAGTTAAATATGTGTATATTACAATTAACAATTTAAAAGTAGGCCATCAGATCACTTAGCATTTCAAGTTTATCCATACATAAAACAATGGTACATGTTAAATATATGAGCATGTAACACCGCTTGTCTTTCCGGGGGCGGTAGGATGCGGTAATCGTTTACCATCAGAAGATCTGTATGTATTACCACTATCGTGGTATAAAAAAATACCGACCTTCCAGTTCTTGTCGTTTAACTCTGCTACGAGTGCCTCGGTGATGAGTGGGGCTATGTCAGTCCGTGGACGCGAGTCCTCCACTTCTTCAATGGGTCCAGCCTCTTCCAAGTCATCGCCCATTGACGCTTTGCTCGCTGACTGTAAGCACAAATTGAATTAATAGTACTAGTTGCAACAATATACAAACAATATTTTTTTTTATGATTTCTTCTTGTGATGAGTCTGTATTCCGAATGAGCGGAAGAATAAAAAAACTTGACTATTCAAAAGTGCTTATATTAAGTTTATTTGAAAAAAAAGATTATTTCTATTTCTATTTATACTATGATGGTGGCAATCAAACATATGGTCCATGACTGTACCTGTTAATTGACTTTAATTCAAAGTTTTTAGTTCATAATGGATAAATCTAAATTCATATTATCATTACATTAATAGTTTTTGAAACAAGTCTCTTAAATAAATTTCCATAACTGTGCTATAATGTGACAGAACTGAATGCAAATTCAAATTCAAATTCAAAAATCATTTATTCATGTAGGACATTTTAGCCGCTTATGTACGTCAAATTACAATCATCCTTTGAAATTACAATACGAGATAGGGATAGTATCTAATAAGTATCTTATCTTATGAGATTAATTCAAATTCAAATTTAAAATATCTTTATTCATGTAGGTCTATTACAGACTCTTATGATATGTGTAATAATAATATCTAGATAATTTTTCCCTAAATGCATTGTAGTTACAAATATATAAATAAAAATGGGTGTGTGTTACTTCTAAAGGATAAGAGAACTAGGGTACTATGCTATACATACCTTACTAACTCCACCGAGCTGTCTGGTAGGTGTTGGTGGACTACTATTAGCATATTTATCCAGCTCTAAGCTGATCAACTGTTTCGTTGCTGGTTTCTCGCTGTCAAAATGACTCAACAGAGATGGTCCAACATATAGAGAGAGGATTCCAAGGAAGTTGACTGTGGATGTCCGTACATTTGGATTTGTTGCCGAGAGAGCTTTTTTTGAGTGTGCGACAATGCCTTTTATATTCATACTGGAAAAAAAATTGCTTATAATATTTGAATCGTAAGTGGCATGTCAAGACATTTGTTTCAGCTATATGATTGTTTTAGAGTTTATAAATCTATCGTGACAGATAGTGTTTATGCCTTATGCCTTCACGATTACATACTGAATAGACAAATATACATACAGGGAGGAGACAATTGTTACTTATAGGAACAGCAAACAATGTAGAAATTTTAGATCAGTCTCCATGCGGTTTTTCTATCTGTAACCTGGATCATTCCATGCGTGATCGCCATGAAGATTTCACTGACCTCTTCATACTTCGCTATATATTGGCACTGATACACAATGGCGTTAACGCAGGCAGATGCACCATTCCATATTCAGTATGTAACATTAGCTAAATCAGTTTGTCATCACATATTAGAAACAGCTTACTCAACTAATGATTATATTAAGACATCATAATCACAATATTCAGTTATGCTTTACTTTTATTGTTAAAGCTATTTGGATAATAATTAAATAATTAGGATCAAAGTCAACTTACGAGAATCCAAACTCCTTTATAGCAATGGACATCCAATTAAACATTTCTGATTGCACTTTAGGGTTCTTCTGTGAGTCCATAGCGAAAGATAGACCCTCATTAAGCACATGTTCGAGTCCACACGCTTCCGCCAGTGATGTGAGGCAATCAGCAGAAATAGATGCACATGATGCTTCGCCTAGTTTCGTCACTATATCTTGGAGAACATAATCTGCAGCCGTGCTGTTAAAAATATATGAACTTTAAACAAAGAATTTCTTACTATGATTCAAAATTTTAAGTTGAAGATTATTATGTTCGATTCGTAATTGCGAGTATTTGTATAGTATGTCATTTTTAACTATAATAATTATATTTCTTTAATAATTTTTACAAATATGGCAATGTATTTGACATTAAACAATATATTAAAACCGTAATCGATCAGGAGGTCGTATATACTCCTAACAATAGTAGTAACATATTTTTAATTTGTTTAAGTAGAAAATGTGTGATACTAAATAAAGATAGGAATCAACTTTGCCTACAGAATGTATCAACACATGTTCTTTATTACATTAAGCCGTATGGCTTCTAATATATATCTTTAATATAAATATATTATAATAAACTCAATATACTTACATGGAGACTGGGAAATTCTCTGTTATGTACTTGCAAGCTTCCAATCTAGCTTTTAGAACTTGAACATTTGTATCTTTCAACCCTGGCTTCTTGTTCAGAGTGCGATACAATACTTGTGCTGTGGCGTCGTTTGTACTCAGCCCTTGTACAGTTGACAGGAAATTCTGGACAGCTGAGAGACGAGTCTTCCAGTTTCCATCGCCGAGACCTATTATTAGTGTATTAAATGTAAGAAAGTGAAATAATATTTTTAAAAATGTAGTACACAGAGAAACTGACAATATTTCTACATTACAAGTTATGTCATTCTTTATACTACACTCTTATAATGTTGGTAAAAAATCAATCAACTTTATAAATTAAAACAGAATTAGGTTTAACACTTTTGTTAAATCCATTCAGCTTCAGACCAGCTCGGCCCGGGTTCCCACCAACATGCTAGCCACCTTTATGAAGGAAAATTACTGACCGAAGGAAGTTATGTACCGGCGCTACCGCGGCAGATTGTTATAGTGAGTGTGGTGACCACAAAGACAATATTATTACTTTGTAATTTTGGATAATATTATTTATTTATTTATTTATTTATTTATTCTTTATTGCACTTTTAAAAATTGTACAATTTGGCGAGCTTAATGCCATATGGCATTCTCTACCAGCTAACCATTAGGTAAGAACCCGGTTGATGGGCAGTGGTGGGAAAGGACTAGCCTATAATTTTCTAATATAGGTAAATAGGTTTTCTTAAAAATAATTACAAATATACATACATAAATATAAATATATACCTACTATAATACATAATAATGATACACCAATAAAATTAAAAAAAAAAAGAGAAATTTACATATATATTATGACAACAATAGATAATTAAGAACCGTTTTGTTCATTCAAGAGATAATCAAAAATTTTCCGTTTGAAAACAGGCTTACTTTGCTTTGTGCTTATTATATATTCGTTCTTACGATATTAATATAATATGGGCCAATATTGTTACATAAATAATATTAATAAAATACCAATAAAAAAAATCACGTATAAATTTCTTAATAATGAAATTGTACATACCTGTGATGACATCAGCAGAGAATAGAGTCTCGGCCCTCGCGTCCACTTCTTCCTGTGAAAGCTCCTGTTCCCGCGGTGGACTGGGCTGCCCGCGCCCCCCAGCTGGTTTCTTTGTACCCGCTACTGCCTTCTTTGGAGCACCTTGTGACAGTATAATAAACATATAGTTATTGTTTTGTGTATTTCATTAGTAGCCAATAAATCAGGCTTGACCTACGAATCGATCAAAATTACGACGGCCTGAAGCGAGGTTCCAAACCCTGCCCTAAGACTAAAGTCGTATCCGTCAGGCGAGAATTGGCCTTCAGCCGCACCATAAGTCCTTCCGCGGGTTTGGAGTGCCATCTGCATTCGCCTCCTCGCATTATAGTAGTCCGAAAAAAAGACAGTGTATATATCTGATCTCTGGTCTTAACGATTTTGCAGTACTTGAATAGATACTTGAATTAATACAGTATCGTATATGAAAATAACAAATGAAACTACTCTTTTCCTATCCTGTAAAAGAACTAGTAATTATAATTAAGTAATTGTATAGTTACCTGACGCTGGACGTTTCACAGGCTTCGGCTGGGTAGAACCGGCGGCAAGTTTACCATCTCCTTTACCCGAAGGCTGCACCGCAGCTTTCGGCTTGGCTTCTTTCTTTGGCGCTGCCACTTTCACTTGAATCACAGCCTGAAAATATTAAAAATTAAATATATTTTATTATTATATTTGTCTGTACCTCATGTACATGTGTATTTATTCACAAATTAGAGACACATAGTCTCTGGGGAATAAAGAATTTATCTATCTATGGGAATTATATTTGTTAAAAATATAAACAGTTTCATATTGTAATATTTTTACAGATTTAGACGATGTTTTGAAATTTGCATGCTCTAATATGTACAGGAAATCCAAAAAATAGACTAACATTTACATTAATTGATCTGAAATAAGTAATCAAACTCAACTATTTTATCAATACAAGATGAGAAGTACAGTCTAAATTCAAATTTGTCTGTCTCTCTGTATTTCGTGATTATATTAATATAGTTAAGCAAACCTTGTCAGCAAACTCCTTAATCTTCTGTTCTTTTAGATTGTCCAGCTTGCCAATGTGTGGTGCTATGGCCTTCTCGCCCACTAACTTAGTGGCTGTTCCGAGCGCTTCAGCAGCGGCATCACGCACCACCGGATCTGTTATTATTTAATTATTATATAATTTTGAACATTTTGGATTTTAAATAATAATAATATAAAGAATACAACACACAGGTATAAAACATAGACAAGGTGTAGCTACAAAGAAAGCAATAGCAATAATATACATAGAAAACACCCAAATTGTGTATTAATGGGTATCATTGTTTGTATGATACAAAGTAATAAAGCAAGTAATCGGACCCGCGACCATCGAAAGTAAGGCGGTGTGCTAAACCGCTAGACCACCGAGGTCGAGGTGGAGGTCGTCAGAATAGGCAGAAATAAATGCCTATATAATAACTAGCTGTGCCCGCGGTTTCACCTGTGTGAAAATTATAGCCTATATGTTATTCTGCAGTATATATATTCTGTAAAGTTACATCAAAATACATTCAGTAGTTTTTGCGTAAAAGAATAACAAACGTCCATATATATTCAAACTTTATAATATTAATAAGATTATACACACAAAACTACAAATTATAATTAACGGAAGATATACAACATCATTGTATAACAATAATACCAACCAGCACTCTCGAGTAACTTCAGCAGACTAGCAACATATGCTTTTATTAGCTTCTTGTTGAAAGCAGCGGGCTGCGTGTGACACAGCGCGCGTGCTAAGAACAGCGCGCTTTCTGATTTTATCTGTGGGTTCTTATTGTCGAAAGCTGCTATCATATCCTCCATTATGGCTTCTAGGTTTGTCTGTAAAAAAAATCGCATGAACATATTACTTATTTATCTAAACAATTATACCAACAATAAACAAAATTAAAGATTCAGTAATGTAATACAGTGCAACTCCATACATAGTTATCAGCATGGGATCATTGCAATAATTTTATCAGATAAGCAGCTTGTGTCCATGCAGTCTTGATAATCATAATAGTGAAATTAATAAGTACTGTCATTCAAAGTATTAATACTTTGAGTTTTTGGGTAATACCTCTAGAAGTCTATTATAACAAATAACCATGAATTATAGTGGCACCATACACATTATATAATCTTCTATAATCTCAGGACAATTCACACAGCGCCATCTAGACCCAAGATCAGATAGTTAAAGCTTGTGTTATGGGTACTGATGACTGATACAAATATACAGAGTATTTTTTTTTATAAATACATATATATTATATATTATATATATACATAGAAAACACCCAGACCGATACAAACAATCATACTCATGAATACAATTGTTTATGCCGTGCCAGGAATCGAACCCGCGACCATCGGACGTAAAGTAGTGTGCTAGACCACTAGACCACCGAGGTCGTCATAGTCATCGTCACATTAAGCAGATATTATGCACGATTAATACCAAAAAAAACTGTATACATGTAAATACTAAACAAGAATTAAATAAAAATGTTGAAATACAACTTACACAAGGATATATAGCATCGATGGCTTCTCTCAAAGCAGCAACAACATTGGTCTTTCTTTCTTTGAATTTTTCCAGTATAGCTTGGACACAGGCAACGGCGTATGGCTGGAACTTGTTGCGAAGTCCACTGGCCACCATACCGAGCAGTCGACCGCCGAGAGCGACTAACATCACATTTGTGTCTTTTGATATTATCTGAATGAATTAAAAAATATACACTAATTAGAACAATTTAATATTTTAGTGTACAAAGAAAACAATAAAATTTCGACCAACAGGTTATATATATCTAGATTCATTGCATTATCTAAAAATAACCTGTCAGTTATCTGTTTAATTTACTATTATTCTTTTAAAATGCCATTACGACTAAAAATATCCTATACATTAGCAGTTAGTTCCCTTAATGACAAAAATATATGTAAGTAATACACTACATATTTACATACATACTAGTACATACATACTACTACATACTAGTACATAATTTAAACATATGTAAAGGTGCGAAAGGCATATTCCAATATAAATCAATCAGAATTGGATTCACAAGTTGAGTGGCTGGTTCGATTTATTATTTTTTTGTGGCTCTACAAATTTCTTTAATAAGAGAACAGTTTGAAATAACGTAACTTCTTTTAAAAAATGATTGGAGAATTCTAACTCATGAACACTGTAGAATATCAGTCCTAGCTGTGTTTTGTCATTCCAAGATATTTAAAATAAGTAGTTTTTTGTGTTAGTAGTGTGAGTAGCAGTATTAAGAGGCCTATTACAAAATGATGCCGCTCAACTTTAGGTTTAATCGCATGGATTTACGCACACACACAGTAATACACGCACACAGACGCAAATAACCGTGTAGCGCAATCGGTGTGGATTTAGTATGAACCATTTTGATCCTTGTAATATTTTAATTAATAATGTGATATGTTTCTACTTAACTAAGTAACATAAACTACTTATTGGATTTTTTAAAATAACGTGATTTATCTTAATTGTCAAAGTGCTAATAATGACCATATTTTTTTATTATATTATTCCTAGAGGGTTGATGTCAGGATGCTGGCCGATTGTACAACTAAAAGCCAAAACCTTAAGTAATATAAAAATAATTGGGATAAGGACAAGAAGATGAAATTGCTATAACATAAATTTACTAATTAATTCTTCTTACATATTAATTCAGTTTATTTATTAATAGATACAATATAATTTATTATAAGAGTCGGATACATTATTGCCATATTCACTTGTTCTAAATATTATACTTAGCAAATAATTATTTTATTTATATATAATAGTTGTGTTTTCAAGGCTTTGTTTTGATTTAAAGGTCCCATCCTTATATGTATATTAGGTGTATCCGCGACTTCGTCAGCGTGGTATAATGAAATTGACCAAATAAAGGAAATATATTTAGATTATAACCTAAAAAAGTTTCATTGTTTCACTTAAACAATGACGATACTTTTATACAACCTTTCATCTCCGCTTTTAATCCCTTACAATACTTTTTTCGCACTATAAAGTAGTCTATGACCTTTCTCAGGGTATACTATCTGTGTATATGTATATCTATCTATATAGACTACCTGTGTATATATATGGTAGTGAATTTACAGGGTACAGGGGAATAACACCCGAGTTTTCAGGAATGGCAACGCATGAGGGAAACAATATGCTGATATGAACATGTCAGGTACTGCTCATGTATATAGGCGACGGTTACCCTTTCCATCAGGAGAGCCGTCAGCTTGTTTGCCATTCTAAGTTGTAAAAAAAAAGCTTCAACTGCTATCATTGCTGTTCCTGCATCATTGACGTCGCCGCATGATATTGGCTGATATTGCAGCTTCTCGTTCTTGGTTGGCCAATTCTTGATTCTTGATAAATAATTACTTGTTAATATCAAACCTATTTATAAATTATTACAAGACGCCTCATTGATTATATGTAATGAAATCACCATGAGCTATAGAGATTTTGGATAGAACCTTAAAAGACCTTAGAAACACCTCTGCTCTCATTGGCGGGATTACTTTTATACTTTTGCTGGAGATTTCTGAAAGACTCTCTGTGTCATTACCATCGTCTCCCTTATGTACTTTAATTGAAAGTTTAAAACTACTGACAAATTTGAGAGCTCATTTTTATGGAAGCACAGATAGTGATTTCCCACACTAACTGCTCAAACTTGAGGAAGGAATTTCTCAAAAGCATGATCCAATCATGAAATTTAAGCCCGCCGAACATGTGCAATGGCATCCCATTGGATATGTTGCTTACTAAAGAATTGAAAGACAATTTAATTGTAGACCATTATAACCGGTACGTTAGCTGGGCAACCAGCTTATATACCAAGAATACCGATGATTCCAACTGATCTGCCAATACCATTTTAACGGCTTCAATTTCCGGTTAAAATATCATCTACACATGTAATAGATCTATATTGATCTTAAAAATTGTTTTGATCTTAAAAAACTACGCAGATTTTGATTCGTTGTTATTTAATAGACAGAATAGATAGACTCAAGAGGAAGGTTTATATATAACGACCCAATACTGTACACGGATCTTTAAACGCGCGATAACCTATATATCCCATATTCACGCGGGCGAAGCCGCGAGCTAAAAGCTAGTCACTAAATAAAAACATTTATAATGTTGTTGACTTTTCACCCAAACACGCATAATTATTTGACATAACTGTACAGTAATGAAAGTCCAACGAGTATAATAACAGAATGGCTGCAATTTAGAAATATCTGTATTGTGTAAAATAAAATAAAGTAAATTGGATAAAGTATCTCTAAACATTAAGGAATATAATTTATATATAATTTGGTAATGATATAACACAAGTCAAATGTACGTAAAAATAATAATGGTATTTTTATAAACAATAACCCTATTTTAATTTAGAAAAAAACTACAAAATAAACATAAAGTAAAATTGGTTTACATTTTCTTACATTTTTCTCTCAGATAAGCGTTATTTTTAAAAATACTAAAACGTTCTCTTTTTTAATTTTAACAATTAATTGCCATTAGTGTGACGAAATACCATGCTCTTGTGCTTTTCATAGTGCAGCAGGGTAGGTAGGTTTTATTTGTAGCATAACTGTACTTTTGTCTTGGCATGCTAAAATAAATATTATATATATATATTTAACAACAACTTTAAATTAATATTCGTAGAAATAAGTATATATTAGCAAAATTAATTAAATATTACTTAAATTATCAAAATGGTTTAGTCGCTCTATACTAATGTTCACTGACGAATGTCTTATCTTAGCGGTGTTGTAAAAAATGGCATAGGTCCTATCTCGACGAGCGCTAGCGCAGCACTGAGAATTTACTTTTGGCGCAATGGAATTTATACAACTTTAAATTATTATTATTGTTTATTTTTTTCTTAGAAACTTATATATTTTTTTTATATTTCTAATTTACAAGTATATTAACTTTATTATTATGTTTTTTTTATGCAAAAATTTCGTTGTATTTATGAGAAAATTAGAAATGATTATGGCAAAGTTTTGTTGAAATTTCGGGTTTCATTATGATCAATTTTTTAGATATTTAAGTTGAAAATGAAAAAAAGGACGATGCTGTCTCAATTTATGAAGTAATTATCAAGTTTTAGTAAAGATATCATATCAATTTATGTTTGTTTATTAATGAACGACGACCCCAAACTTCTGTCTCTTAGCGTTTTTGAATAAACTATTTTAGAAATTAGGAAGACTAACAAAGAGAAAATTAACAAAGATGTAGTTTTTAAGATTAGATATCTATCTATATAATTCAGGAATAAAAATGTATATCCGACTCTTAATTTCTTAGAACCAGAACCCCAAAGACCCTGCTTTTAGGCCAAAAAATGTGAAAGGCCTCTTAATGATCACAGTGACAACTTCTATAGAAAAACATATTACTTTTTTTAAAACATATTTAAACATATTTATTTTTTTTTCTAAGTCAATTGTGTCCTTTTATTTATAATATTATTGTACAATAAAGTATTACAAACAAAACAAACTTTTACCTTTTTTAGAGCCCTGACAAGATCAGCATAATCACCAGGTTCTAATTTGGGAGCTGTCTTTAGCAAGGCTTCCAGAGCATCAAGAGTCTCTTTTCTATCTTGCCATTTTTTAGCTTCCAACTTTTCATAGAAATCTTTAGGTATTTTAGAGAGAATCTCGACTGGATCAAGGAGATCATAGGGATCCATATCTCCTGAGTCACCGCCACCCGTCTCCGCGTCATCGTCGTCCACTGTACCTGCAAGATAACTTAGTTATGAGACAAAATAAATATTGAGTGTACAAATACATCATTAGTTATTTTTACTCTACTGTTGATGTATACACAGACATGTGTTTTGAATTGAATCCTAGTTAGGTTGCAGCAATACAGAGGTAGTATCTTTTAATACAACTACCCAAAACTACCCAAACAACAGAAAAATTCACTTTACTCACTATCTCAAATTAATATATAATATTCTATCCCTTGTCTAAAAATGAAAAGAGGAATACATTTAAAATTAATCATAAAATATATAATTGCTATTTAATAAGATTTAACATGCTATGATTTTATATGTCAGTTTTGTGACGATCGCCTCATCAGGCATCACCTCTGAGATACTACTCATTTTATAAGTGTATTACTATTTAATACAAAGATGTTTTTTGCGATTAAGTTCCATTGTTAATTGTGTAGAAAAGGGAAATTTGCAGTTATGTAAAATTAGTTACCATCAGGAGAGTCTGTAACAGCGCACTCTCTCACGCGGTTCTGTTGCGAGCGCAAATAGCGAGTGGGTTGTGCGCCGCCAGTGCCGAACGATTCCCGAAGTTCTTGCTGTACCACTGCTTGAAGAGATGCTATGTGCGGTTCTATAGCTGCGCCGATCCATCTGTATGCCATTTAAAAGAAACGAGTAAAATTGTAATTTATATAAATTTACATATGCTCATATATGTGCACTCTTATATTAAAATTGGCTATTTCTTAGTTATTTGTAATAAGATTTCATCAACTTTATTGAGTATTGCATTATATATGCAATACTTTGTGGTGAAGGTAGTCATAAAAACAATTATAATTTGAAAGTATCAAAAGATTAAAACTTAATCATAGTGTAAAGATACATACAAATTGATATCAAATTAATGATGATATCATATTGTTTGCATACAAACAATCTCAATGAAAAAGATTCCCAATTCTATTTACAATTGAATTGACAATCTTTTCATAGTCAATATACTACACAACTCACCTGTGCATCTCAATGACTAGTGCTTTCATTTCATCCCTCACACCCTTATCTCTGTCTGCTAACAATACAGGTATCTTTTTAACCATGGGCTTAATAGCTATAACTTTGTTTCCAAACTGCTTCAGAGAGGTGTTCAAAGCAGAGATACATGCGGCTACAACTTTGGGATTTTTTTGTTCCATGCCTTTCAGTAATTCCTCTTCTACAATTTCATGTTTTTCTATCTCTACATACATTAGTGTCACCTTAAAATAAACAATATTGAATATAAATATTTAGTTTAAAATAGTATAAGTAATATGTGGACTAAATGGTACCAAAATAGTTTAAAAGAATGTTAATTATAAAATGTTTGTTTAGTAAGTTGACTCATTTCTAAGGCAGGTTCATTAACTTTGTCAATTGGTTCAATTGTGTCTATTCTTGTAGAAGCCATTTAGCTGAATTTCATTCATTTAAATTGTAACAATAACAGACAAATAGATACTCATCAAACATTGTAATATTTCTTGGCTTCATTTCCAATAATATGGAAATCAATTATTGACTCTAATAATACTGATTATTACCACCTATATGGCTTAACAATATAAATATTAGAACAAATGTAAATTCAAGAACTCAAAAAATTATAATACTATTGAGTTATATTACACAAACAGCAATTTCCATTTGGTACAATAATGATACTAATGCCATAACATATGTGTGTGTATCAGCCATCCATAAACAATGACCTATTCTAATGAAATTTGGTACACAAGCTGACCATAGCCAAATTATGATTACCAAAATTTTAATTTATTATAGCACAAAAACAGAAAAATATTTTTGACAATTGTGATTTACATATGCATAAATTAAATAAATATGATCTCAAAATGAAAAATAACTTCAATACACTAAACTAAACTAATCAACATACCTGCAAAGCGAGATCCTTTGTTTTAGTCTTAGGGGCAGCAATACATTTAGCCACAATACCTGACATGACTTCACCGGTTGTCTTTCCGGCGTGACCACAATTTTCAACAAATACCAGCGCTGCCTCCAGACCTGAATCATATTTTTATTCTAAGTAGCATAAACATAATAAAATAAATCTATAAGCCTTATTATTAGCAAATATGGTTATTTCTTCTTTGAATGTAATGGATTTTGATTATGAGTATTTTTTGGACTACAAAATAAAACTATTAGTATATTTTCAATTATCTATAACGGCTTTATTAAAAATATGGTAATTTTTATTATTCTATTATTTATTCAGCATAATTAATATACCAATAATTGTAGTATATATTTCATATGTAATTATTATTATTAGGTAATTATTTGACAGTTTATTTCAAAGACTGTATACATAGGTTTTGTATTCAAAGCATTTTCTTAGACATTCTTTTAACAGATTTTGTAACATCATTTATATCTTAAAAAGATATAAATGAATAGAATAAAGTAAATAAATATACTTAATTTATTATAACAAAATATACCTTTTTCTTGGGCCACAGCATTGCTATCAGTGACAAATTTTTTGATCAAACCCAAATACTTGTTCCACTCTGGTGATTTCTCATCATCAATCTGGTTGAAGAGTTTAATTGCTTCTTCATATCCTGTTACTCTTGCTTTCCACAATTTATGCACACATTTCTCTTCTGTTGGTAACTTTTTATATTCATTCTCATCCTCCATTTTGTTATGTCTTTAATTGTACAAGTTCGAGTTTTCTTAGTCTGAAAAAATATATTTAATTGTATACTGCTAAAATAAAAATAATTGTAATTTGCAACATACTTGTCGTTAGAGACTGCTTTTAAGAGAAAAAGCCTTATCATTGGACTGACAGAAAACAAAACTAAATATTACCAAGTACCCATACCATATATAACAATTGCCTTCAAAAATTATAAGTGTAATGATAAAGTTTATACTAATTAAACAATTCATTTATAGCCTTTTGTTTAGATATCTGTTCATATGTGCATTTAATTGTTTACACCTTTCATTATTGTATATACATTTATAAAAAAGGTAATGTTAATGATATACTATTTGTATTTTGTATCAAACATCAAATAAATCACATTTTAAAGATATCCTTACAAGTAAATATGTAATACCAAGTTATTTGCTTTAAAAGGATGCCAGTTAGCCCTGAATGTAAATTGCACATTAATTAATGTACCACTTGGCTGAAGTGACCTTATACTTACCTGCTGTTCCCTTATGAGGTCAAGGAAATATAAGTAATTTATATTGGGTAAAAAACATATTAATGTTCAAACTTAACAATTATATTGTATGACTGCTTTTGTTCTTTATTCCTAAATTAACATTATATTTACCCTACCATACAAATATAGACTTAATTTGTAAATAATACAACTTCTGTATGCACTTTCTTTACACCGTAGGCGTATGTTTTTAATCACTAAGATACGAGATGTTTTACAGACTTTTAAGAAATGGTGATTCAACGGAGCTTCCTTTCGAATGATAATGGCTGCTTGGTCAATATAGCGGAACAAATAGTTAATTGCCAGCCGGTTCATTTATAGCCATGCCATTATAAGGTGAGATGTGAAACTAGATCGCATCTGCAGCGGCTCTGAGCGCTCGGCAACGGTCACTTTCTACTTCAACAAACAAAATTCAGTCAAATGTTATGATTCTTACCGTTAAATGTTTTTCTCGATGTGTCCAGTTCATAAAAATGTTGTTTGTTTGTTGGTTACTAATAAAGTGAAATAACAAACAATCACATTATCCAAATTGAGATAGTTATCGGATATAGAGATAGTTTTTTTCTTTTCCGTCGTCGTTTTTTTGAGTTTGTAAAATGAATGAAAGAAAATATTTTTTTTTAAGACAGACAGATTCAATGTTGCCTTTCTTTATTTCAATTCAAATATACTATTTCTACCATGAATTCTACCACTGAGTAAATAATCACTAATTCATTTTATTGTACATACGCAGATGTCAATTTAAATATCAGTTTGTGTTTAGTTATTCATAAATTAAATAATTTTTAGATAAATGAATCAAATATACTTCATTTGCATACTAAAGAAAATACTTAAATAAATAAATTTAATGTCCGAAACATGCATAGTTATTATTGATTACAATAAAGCTGCCTTATGAATAAAAGTAATATTTTCAGAGCAACCTCAGAGAAACGGATTTAATTATCGAACCAGTAGGTAATATGCATAACGGTGAAAATAAAGTAATAATAATATACTTAAACTAAATATACTTATGTACATGTGATATTTATAGTACAAACTTACTGTATAAATATTATGACAAAATAAAAAATATAGATGTAAAAGAAAACAAAATTGTATAACCAATTTACAACAAGCATTTATCACGATGTCACATGACAAAGTAAAGTAACTATCAATATTAAATAGTAATAATTTTATTGTTATTTATTTTTATCCTGTTAAAATAAATAATTAAGAAAAAATATATATTTATGGTTTCATTTCATTCAATCATCATTCATATCATTCTCAATTTTCATTCGCGCAATTGAAGAGTTGAAGATTTGAAGAGAACGAAAACGAAACGAACAATTGCTGTCATACAAATCCAAAACATTCAGCTGCAATCCGTTTTGTAAACTACAGTGAATGAGACGTATCGCGTTGTTTTTATGAGCGTGATACTGTGCTTTCGCTGCGGCTTCTTGCTGCATGACGAGGAGTAATAATAGTCTGTCGTATTATATGCAAATATTCTTGTGTATGTGACTTTTCAATGAATCATTAGTTAAGAAAACGTAGCGTTAATATTTTCATATGTAATATAGACTATATCAACAAGAGTGTAGTGTTTTCATTCGGTGTATACAATAATTTATCCTAAACGGCGAAGATAATTTCAACAGCTGTTTGGGCATAGTATGCTTCATATTGTAAGTACTTTATTTTTGATTAATTTCCGTAAATTTATGTAATTTGTGTCTAAATGTATATTTTAATCTCTTCCTTTTCACCATTAGCTAGATTTTGTGTCTTGATAATAGTACTACCTACGTGGTATTGCTTGTTTATATTACTTTGTTTAGCTAGTTGAGTATGGCTAGAACCTGCTTTTCTATGTATAATTTATTATGCTAATGTGTCTAGTGGACACAATCGATGTTTTCTGTTATTTAACTTTACTGGTAATATAGTTTTGTGTGATTGTGCGTGAGTCACATTTACAAATACTTACTTACCTACCTATTTAACGCCTGTTTAATTATTGAATAGAAATATTAAATTAAATACCAGTAAATACAAAGATGGCCCAAGTAATATAATTGTTTTGTTTTGTTCTATAAACAAGAACGGGTAGATGGGTTAATGGGTACCTATATTATTTAATATACAAATAATGAGGTTTATTAATAGGGATAATCTTGGCTAGCAATGTACCATGTAAGTTCGACCTCCACGGAGTCCCTCTAGAAACAATTGCAATTATTTCTGTAGAATATTTGGGCTACCTACATGATTCATTATGCTTATCCTACCGTCCAGGTCAGCTGGCCCGTCGTTGTTATTAGAAATGGGTGCCCTATTACCAACAATATGCTATAACTATTGTTAACAATGATACCATGCAGATCTACCACCACGAGGATCGTATATTTAGAAACCATCATTTCTGTTAAATTCACTATGGTGCCGTAACTAAACCGATTTATATGCATCCTTTCATCTAATACTGATTATCGCCAGAAAAATACCTTTACCGCAGGCGGAAGCATTATTCCAAAATCAAATCCTTAAAATAACATAAACAGGTATACGTGTTTTATGTCGGTTTGGTACTAGGAATATAGGGGTATTTTCCTAACTCTAAGAATAATTCGTACTGTGGTGTAGGTACCTTCCATTGGGTGGGTAGTTATATATCTAGTGGGTAAGGTACATACATTGAATGGATTATTATAAAATCATTAACTCATTAGGTATGTTTAAACGTCATTGTTTTTCTATTACTTGTTAAATCAATCGACCACTGCCTATTTGCCTTTTCTAATTACTTTTTGATTAGACAGCATCGGCAGTTTCCATTGACTTCCGCAACTATTTTTTGTTTTTTACCGAGTTCTCGGCAATTTAATTAACTTTTTATACCTAGTCTAGATCTATTGAATTATCGTAATACCACTAATTACGGTAAACATTCGATGGCTGTCTAACTATGAGAATTTTTCTATGATTATTAGTATACATTACAGGCTTCTTAAGTAGATGTTTTTAATAGATAGGCGTGGACTAAGGGCTATTGGTTTTAATTGTGACAAAATAGTATGAGGTCCAGATGGATTAAACTTATTGATTACTTAACTTAACTTATCGATTTCTTCTGGAAACAATTTTGGTTAATTCTTGATAAAGCCACGATGAGTCAAACTACTAAAAATTGGTTCATCCATACGCTTGCGTAGTAGGTACATGGAGGATGATAGAATGACAATGGAATCAGATCAGCTATCCCATGGTGACGGATTCACACTGGTTTCCAGATTCCCCTCTGCGTAGAGGTTAATATTATGTGGTACATTGCTAGCTATGGGGCCACTAGTTCCCATTACTAACCTATCCTCGTAGTGATATAAATTAACTCCATTGCTAACAATTTTGAGTCAACCTCCAAGATTCCCAAGTATACTCACCCCTTTCTCGCTGGAAACCATCGTATTTAATTAGCGAAGGCGGGTGCAGTATTCCATTATAATCCATTAAAAAACACACTTGTTACAATTTATGGCAAAATATTATTACCATGTTGTGGTTATTATCATATTTATTGTAAATATTATATTACTTGTGTTAAATCATACAATTAATTATATTTATATAGGTATACTGTCAGTACGTATAAACCACATATAAACATTATATATCCTCAAACGAGGTAGGTGTATAAATAATATAAGAATGCGGTCACAATACTCAGCTATACTTGTAGGTAGTTATTAATAATATTTCCATATTGGTAAGGCACAATATAAAAATATTAATAATGACATGTAAACGTTACATTATACGATGTCTTAGCATTGTACAATTTCATAATTTATTTATTAATAAACGTTTTAATTATTATTTACAAATAATAATTAAAACGTTTATTAATAAATAATAAAATTATAATATTTAATAGGTCTCTCAATATTTGATAAGTTTTGGTCTGACCATATTCTGAAATTTCATGAAATCAACAGAAAGTTCAAAAACAATCACAATATGATAAAGTTCTTGTCTCTTTTACACTATTATTATATATAAAAATGTTTCTTTCATTCCACTCATGCGCCATCCACCACCGTCTGACTTTTTTGCTCTACTTTACCCAAAGGTTGTCTGGAAGTGATCGCTTATGCGATATGCCTTTTGTACCTACATACTCTAAATATCCAGAATATATGTACTATCGTACCTTAGTAACTCATACATGAATTATGAGACGTATCTAGAAACTTCTTGAAATTATTAAATTTTTTTCGTAGCAATCGCTTTATTTAAAATACCAATTACCATTCTATCATATATCTACCACAACACGACGACAGATTAGAGCTAATTCTGTATTAAATAAATTGCAATTAATACATTATTGTTTTATACAATGTGATCAATTAAAACATTACAAATATGGTATTATCGTTTAGTCGTCAGGTGTTAATCACTCATCTGATTATGTAATAATCAACACAATAAATAATTAATGCCTACGTATAAGTACTTATAATTATATAACTACTTTGTGTGACATGCATCCATACTATGATAATATTTTTTTCTTATGGATGATAATGAAAAGAGGGTGCACCCAATGCAATTTGAGGTGAAAATAGATGGCACCACAAGGCTATCAAAATGTAAAATAGATAAAAAAAATTAAACAGGAAAAGTCGCGGTTTGATTATACTGTCTGTCTGACTGTTTGACTGTACCTTTTCACGAATTAACGGCTAAACGGATCTGATTAAAATTTGACATTAAGATATATAAGATATAGTGTTATGAGGACGGATATGGGCTATTTTTATATAAAAAAATCTGAATGGGGTTCAATACAGGATGAAAGTTTTATGCAGACGAAGTATTAGGTAACAGCTAGTTTGTTAGAAAATTAATAATTGCCTGTTGTTTAGAATTTCCGTAACCAGTGACTTGAAGCGAAAAGGTTTTTCCCTAAAGTTTAATTGTAATTGGGGTTATTAAGTCATAATTGCGAGAAAAGAAATCGCCGTGTGCGTGGTCACGTAGTACTTGTGCAGTGCAGATAATACAATGTGCGGTTTGTCGCCATTTTTACCGCCATGTTGTGAATCATGTCACTTGCAATGATAGCTGGTTTGTTGTCCTTAGCTGCATAACAAATTTCGACAAATATACGGACTCGAAATAAGTTTAATTACATTTTACCCTATATATTTAATTCATTTATTTCAAGCAATACTTGTATATAATAGAACAAATTCAAATTATAATATTTGTTGTAATTTCATTCAGTTCTTGATTTCTAGATATGCGTCATATCCAAAAATTAAGAACTGGGTGATATAACAAAGAGGGCCTTATTAAATAAAGAGTTGGGCACTCAATAGACTGCGGACTTGCATTGTCATCTACAAACCAATTTGATTATAGTAAGTACTTTTATTGATTACGGATTTACGGATTTGCGGACAACAAAATATAAATATATAAAATTAGCTCTTATCCACAATAACGTCTGCTCTTTTTACAAAAATGATATGCCTATCCGTCCTTGTGATAGAATCGATCTTCACGTCAAATTGAAGATCCGTTTATCGTTTCGCCATGTGAAGTTAACCAATAGACTTTCGCATTTATAATATTCGTGTTAGTATTGATAATATACTATTGTTCGAAAAATACGGTCAAAGATAGAATGTCATCATTTTGAAATGGGTATTTTGAACAATTTCGAAAAACAGACTTTAATACATAATCATTCAATGCCTTCCTTTATTCGCATTTTATCATAGAAATGTTGCACGGTTACCTACTATGGTTATTAAGGTGTTTTAATCGAGCAAAAAAAGTATGTTACATTACATTAGTCATTCCGTATATAGAAGTGGCATTCTAAATTGAGTAGGTTGAACATGTCTTATTTGGTTAAGTGTAGTGCACATATTAGCCCTATACGACCTGCTTAGAACAAATGGGAGCTACAAGTAATGGGATTTAGGTATTGTATCTCACGTGAGTACGCATTCGTGAGGATTCCACACAGTCTGATTTAATTATTGCTGGCAACATAATGTGCAAGCTTCAGGAAACATTTCCTACTAATAAGATAAAATAATTTAATACATTAAGTATACTAGTCGCATCATAATTATTTAAATAATTTTTATTATGTCCTAATAAATGACTAAAACTACGAAAATTAACAATACACCAAAGTGTAAACAACAATGTGGTCCATTTCTAAGTGAAGTTGTTTAGTATTTTAAAAATTTGGGTACTTTTACGCTAGTCCCATCGTACCTTAATCTCTTAATAAAAATAAAAAGACATATTTCGTAAGAAACAATATAAAAAGGTGATATTAAAACCTGTTACTAATCACTTCGCGATCTGAATATTTGTACAAACTTTTCTTAAGTGTTCTAGGTACAATTAAATGTAAATATCTAACCATAAATAAAACCATATGATAGAAAGTTTCATCGTTTCCATATTTTCCCACAAAGGTCGTAATATAATGTTCCGCGTAATTTTGTGTCTAAAACTATTGTACTATAAAGAGAAAGTAGTAAAAGAGGATGCTGTGACATACAAATATTGAGTCAGCACGTATTAATGGCCCGTCATTCTATATATCTATGGTAAATACTATTAGTGAATGTCTAGTGGACTACATTCAACTATATATAAA